TCTGGGTCTTCAGTTCTTCTTGATCTGTTTCTGATTTTCGTGGTGGAGGGGTGGGGGGGGGGGGTAGGTGCTGTTACAAATGATTAATTGCGTTACAGTCAGAAGGAAGTGTCCACACCCACAGAAATGCAAATGCGTGTTTGCGTGTGATTTGGGACGCGTGCTTTCTGGAAATGTGCTCAGCCTTGCATATTTCCCCCTCTGTGCTGATCCACTTAGAGCCACCTGTCAGTCTGCTCCTCTGCTCTGCGTCAGCTCTCCAGCCTGAATCCTGTGCTGGTGAGGGGGGGTCTCTGGCACCCCCTGCCGGAGGCCCTGCTTCTGCGGTTTGTTTGCCAGTGTTTAATATTTAACTTCCCATTAAGTTTTAATGGGCAGAGATAGCAGTCAGATTCTGGGGCATTACTGCCTTTCTCCGTAATCATTCTCCATTAACAAGGGTCATTAAAGTAGGTCCCACAGACCCAGGCTGGCATGTTTAAGGCGTGTGCGTGATGCCGTGTCTCCGGCCCGCAGACCATCAAGCTGAAGGCCGAGGCCCGTCTGGACCTCCTGCGGCAGGCTGGCGTGTCTGTGGACACCTGGCTGAAGAGCGCCATGAACCAGGTGATGGAGGAGCTGGAGAACGAGCGCTGGGCCATGCTGCCCTCGCTCACTACCCACGATGCCCCTCTCTCGGTGAGCTACCCCCCCCCCAAGTGGTGATGTTACAGGGAAGAAGACAGACACCCCATTCATCTCCTGCCCTAGCTTGCCGCTCTCGACACCTCATGGTGTGGAATGGGCCTCCCCTACTTTGGGGGACCCTTGAGGGATACACCTGTCATGGGGGGGCTTGGCAGTGCTTCCTTATGGTGCCACGTCATGTCATCATGTGACTAGCAGCTTTTCCTGTATTCTAGAAAGTTCCTCAGCTGCCGTGTCCCCTCGCCCCTTAATGCTCCAGTCTTCACATTCGGCTTTATCACTCTCCTGCCATATTTCACATTCGTTCCACATCACCTTGCCGTTCACATTGAAGGTGAGGCTCAGACAGGCCTGTGGGACGGAGAGTGCAGTGTGATGATAGGTGACCCTGGGCTGTTTGGCCAGTTGGTTCAATACAGAATAGTGCAAGATGCGGGCAAGCAGTACTGCAGAGGGCTGAAGCCTGAGGTGCATGTGTGGATGATGTTTATATTACATTGTGGGGACCAAATGTTCCCCTTAATGTAATATAATAAAAACCTGTTATTTTCAGGTCCCTACTAAGATCTGTGAATTCAGTCAAAAAACTGAAAGTCTTGTACTTTGCTTGATTACTTGTGCTTAAGGTTAGGGCTGGGTGGGGGTTAAGGTCGTCATGTTAGGATTGTGTGTGTGTCTGTGTGGGAAACACAGGAAGCACCCCCCTGCCCCCCTTTCCCGTTTTCAGAGAAGTGGGCCAGATGTTCTAGTATTACTGTGTGAAGAGATTATCTCTCTGTAACAGGAACCGTATTTTTACACCCTCTAGAAATGACTTAACCCAGCTGGGCCTTGGGGTGACACCTGTTTTTGTGCCGTGATTGGGGGGGGGGTCGCTTACAGGCAGGAAATCCACAGTTTCTCCTCTTTTTAGCAGAGTCCTGTGTTTATTGTGGCACGGGACTCGTGAGGCTCTGCAGAACCTGTCTAATACTCCAGCCCTGCCTTTCTGGGCTGCTGTAGGTCTTGCTGTCCATGTGTGACCTTGTCATCGACGCGCACTTTCTGATGTGATGCCGGTAACTGAAAGGCTTTGGTCTCGTCGCAATCGAATAAGAATGGAGGGGATCTCAAATTGCATCCCTGGCCGTCGTCTGTGTGCAGGGCGGCGTCGACCTGGAGCGAGACGAAGGTGAGGAGTTTGAGGACAACATGGAGGTTTTCGATGACAGCAGCTCCAGCCCGTCTGGTACTCTACGCAACTACCCGCTCACCTGCAAAGTGCTCTACTCCTACAAGGTAAGAGCCCATGCCCAGCGGACAGGGGCTCTACGCAGAGAGAAGGGCTCTACGTGAAGAGGGGGGCCCAGTGTGTTAAGGGGCTATACTTAGACTTGGGCTTGCAAGGTGCTACATTCACCCATGAGGGGATCTACACTTAGAGAGGAGCTCTACGCATAAAAAGGGCAGCAGAACATGCAGCGTCAGGGTATAGTATGACAATGAAAACATTTAGTTGAAATAACCTTAATTTTTCACCAAACAATGGGCCAGACATCTTATACCATGTTCCTTTGGATTGACTCTGGAAAATATCGGATTTGTAATTTGCGAAATGTGTCACACATCTAGCTCTTGAACTCTGGAGGATCACACCATCTTGTAGTTTGGTCTGGCTCAGTAAAGCCCAGCGCATGGAAAAACACTGAGCAGCAGCGCCACCTGCTGGCTGTGCCGCAGCGTCTGGTCTGCGAGCTGAGCTGGCATTTGGCCCTGTGTCCCCAGGCATCCCAGCCGGACGAGCTGACCATCGAGGAGCAGGAGATGCTGGAGGTGATCGAGGACGGGGACATGGAGGACTGGGTCAAGGTGAGACTGGGAGGACTGGGTGAAGAAGGTTCGGCCAGGACAGACACACATAGGCCAGGAGGAACCTGGGCCTTGGAATGTTCCTGAAACACGCACTTCAGTCCGAACTCCAAGAGCACACACTGTTACAGAATCCCTGGGTGTGTCTGTAGGACTCTGGACGTTTTAATTAAGTAATAAATTAGCAAAGTCACACATTTCGCACTTAAACTAAAGGATTAACACATTGGATAATAATTCACCCCCCTTACAGTACAAAGGTGACACCATTTAAATGGCATGAGTATGACTGATAATACTGTGTCCCTCCCCAGGCCAGGAATAAGGTGGGCCAGGTGGGCTATGTCCCAGAGAAGTACCTGCAGTTCCCGGCCTCCAGCAGCCTGCTGGGAATGCTGCAGTCCCTGGCCGCGCCGGACGCCCGCTCACACAGCTCCAGCAACTCTACGGAGCCCGAGGTGGCGTCCAGCAGCACCAACGGCGACGCCAGCCGTGAGTCCGGCACCGCGCGCCCTTCCCGCTACATTCTAAGGCACTGCGGAACACTCTGGAAACTGTCAAACTCAGCGAAGTTTCCGGATTTTCTTACATTGTCTGTCATTATCTGGGTCTGTCGGCCATGGCGACCCGCTGTCGCACCCGTGCACACGCCCCAGGTAGAAAAGCCCCACGGCCCTGCCCCTTAACCCAAAATGACCCCCCTCCCCCCACAGTGAGCTTTGTGAAGGCCATGTATGACTACGAGGGCCAGACGGACGAAGAGCTCTCATTCCCTGAGGGCGCAGTCATCCGCATCCTGCACAAGGACAGCCAGGAGGACGACGGCTTCTGGGAGGGCGAGTTCAACGGCCGTGTGGGCGTGTTCCCCTCTGTGCTGGTGGAAGACCTGGGGGGCTCTGAGAACGGCGACACATCCTGGGGTCCCGACTCGCAGGTACCGACGCACGCATGCATGCATGCACACACACATATACATCTACACACAGTGTGATTACAGCTCCCACCCGGAAATGTCTGTAGTCCTGATTAGCGGTTGGCTGCTTCCTTCCTGCAATTAGCATGTTTGCCCGAGCGCTATCTGAGAGCCCATGCTGTCTGTGGAGGGAAGCTGTCGCCAGCCTTTCCTGGCTGCCTACCCACAATGCACCCTGTCCTTTCCTGGCTGCCTACCCACAATGCACCCTGTCCTTTCCAGGGCCAGCCTACCCACAATGCACCCTGTCCTTTCCAGGTATCCCCATCCCAGCGGCTCCACACCTCCCTGCCCCCGCTGCCGCTGTACGAGCAGCCGCCCTGCAGCCCCTACACCAGCCCCGACAGTGCAACAGGACCACCCCTGCCACGGCCCCCCTCCATCAATGGGGATCACAAGGGACCCACCCACAGTAAGATTCCGGCGCCACTGGGGGCCGTCTGAGGGCAGTGCCAATCTGATAAAAGTCTGGGAATGAATGACCAGCCTCTCTTTTGTGACATAGGGCAGGTTTAATCTCTTCACTGTGACCATGTGACCTCTCTCAACCAATACCATGCCTCATAGCACCTCTGCCTCATTGCCCTCCAGACCACAACAGCAGTATGGAGTCTCCGGGCTTCTGCCAGCCCCCGCGGTTCCCCCCAGATGGAGGCCCGGGAAAGCTGCGTCCTGTGAGTGCCCCCGTTCCCCTACGCAGTCGCCCTTCTTCATCTCACGCCCCTGATCACTCCATCATTAATTCCTGCCTGTTCACCCCCTTCCACCCAGGTACGTGCGGCACCCCCTCCCCCACAACAGCACCCCCGCAGGCAGGTGGAGAAGACAGAGGAAGTCGAGATCACTCTGGTGTGAGAGCGCCGCCCTGGTGGCTCACAAACTGAACTGGACCTGGCTCCTGGCCCCATGCTCCTTGCCGCTGTGAGAGAGGCGGACAAGACAGAAGGGCCACAGCCTTCACATCCCCACTCCCACGCCTCCCCCTGACGAGGCATGGGGCTCCTGGGGGGGGGCAGGACGGGGGCGGGGGCGAGTACACGTGCGCTCTTCCTCGGAGCTGCCATCGCCGTGGTGCCTTTCCTGCACGTCTCTCTTCACGGCGGGCATTATGAACGTTTAGACAAGGCTCCTGTTTAGTGAGGAGGAGGAGGAACGGGGGCCAGATCGGGGGATGGGGGGGGGGCATTTTGGGCGTGTTCCTCCGGCCCCGTCATATGTAGTCATATCATACGTGTTTAATGTGCATTAGTACAGTACATTACTGTTGCCATAGGAGCGTCGTCCCGGGTGTCTCCACACAGCAGTACGACTCGATACTTTGGTGTTTCGTGGACCGTGGGGGTCGTGCAGAGCGGAAGCGGAGGGGGCTGGCCCCCCCTCCCCCAGGATCCCCGTGTGACTCTTTATCTCATAGATAAGGGAAAGTGGCAATTTCAAATGATACTAATATGACAAATATAAGTCTTTCCAGCTTTTATTATGAAGACGTGGCTCTGTATTACTAATATTTAGTCCTCATGAGAACAAAAAATGCTACAGTGGTTTAGTGGGTGCGATGGGTGGCTGCCCGCTTCCCAGTTTGGCCCTGTGCTGTTTTTTTCTGCTTTTCTCTCTTTTCTCTACGCCACCCGATATCTCAGCATTATCGCAAGTGCATTATCTCACGTCGACTGTCACGTGACACCGCCGAGGACCGAACAGGAGCCCCGCGTGGCATTCAAACGGCAGGAGCACAAAGTGGCGACCCCTGCCTGTAAGTGAGGAGAACAACCCCCCACCCCCCCCCGGACAGGAGGCCCGCATGGCATACAGGCCGCAGGAGCTGTGACGCCTGCTTGAGAATGAGGAGAGCTCCCCCCGCTGGACAGGAGGCCTGCGGCATTTGAACTGCCCTGCAGGGTTGTCAGTTGTGAGCTGATCCAAAATATTCTGTCCTGTCTTTTCCTTTTTTCTACAACACAGCAGTTGCATTACTTTTGTACTCGTTTTTTTATGATAGTGTTTTAATTTTTTAAAGCCTTTTGCAGCAGGAGTTTTTGAAAGGGACCCATTGTTCTGTCACAGGTGTGTTTTTCTTTAAAAACAAAAGATGTTTTCCCCCCTAAGCATGAACCGTAGCATCCTACAGTCTCTGTGACAGTACCGTGATTCCTCCTGGGGGGGAGGGGGATCACCTCCCCCCCCATTTTGACACTTTAATCCCAGAGTAAACCACCCCCCCCCAATTTTCACCTCGCTCCATAGCGTTTCGTTCTAGTCGTCCATGAAAGCTAACAGTGTGAGAGGCCTTGACGCCGTTTTTGGTTTGATTGTTTTTGTTTTCCTGTAATTCTTTGGTGACTGTTTTGCTAAGAGCTGCGTGACGATGGCCAGACACTCGAGTCACGGTGCACGGATAAAGGAGGGGGGTGGAACTGGTGACTGATGACATCCTACACCCTGACTGAAACGGCGAGGCCGGGCCTGAACAGGGGAACGGCCCCCCGGGGAGAGTCCTCAGCACTTGTTTGGGAGCCCAACCTGCCCGCATGGCTCACTGGGGGGGCTGTGCAGCCACCTGCCCGTGTTGCCCACATTTGCGGGTTGACGTTGTGTTTGTGGAGCATGAATGGAGGGGGGTGGGCTCCCCCACAGTACGAAAATGGCCCCTGGTTTGGTGAGGTGCTGCTGCATGGTGTTTACCGGAAGACGAAAAGAGGAAATGTATAATAACATTATGTGGAGAGAATGTGCATTTCAGTATAAAATAATCAGTGTAGATTTTGAAAGTAGATCAGAAGGGAGAATATATTATCTGTGCTGTCTGTTTACCTCTCTCTCTCTTGTTGATCTCACTGAGATCTGTAAAATGTTATCAAACTTGTTTTGAAGTTTATCGTTTACAGCAGCCCCTCCTTTCCAGAATCCCGTTTTTTTTTTTCCTCTTTCCTCCCTTTATTTACTCTGGACAGTTACACGCTCTTCCGTATACCAGCCAATCACACACGTGGCTTTGATTTTATTTCCTCTATCTTTACTCGAGAGCTGCTAAAATGCGTAGTAAGACGGACCTTCACTTTCCAGCAATGACAGTATCAGAGCAGCGGTGGTGAATTCTGCATTTTATTGGCTGTAAAAAGTTTGTATTTATTGTGTACAAATGTTAATAAAACAAATGGAAAAAAGTGTTATTGCATTTTATTCAATCTCCACACCATCTTCTGATGTGGACATCCAAGGTTTTATTTTTTTATATATTTTTTCTTAATGTGAAAACAAACAGCACTGCACTGTGGGACTGAAGTAGTCAGCAGCAGCGTTTACCGTCACTCAAACCCCACTTTTGCATGTGGCTCCAGAGGTTTGGGGGCCCCCTATTGGTCATAAACAGTCACTGCACTAGGGGATGGGGGGGCAAGATCATAAACTTTTTGAGTGGGTTAAATAATGAACCTGAAAATTTACCTATCATTTAAGAGACAGAGCTAAACTGTTGTTGGGGCTGCGTGGCCTTTCCTGGTCCTCTGTCTGTCGCTTAGGGGGAGGAGCTGCAGCCCATGTTGGGCGTTCTGGATCTTGATATCACTGAGGGCTTCCTGTCAGGATGCCAAGAGCAGCAGCGCGTCCTGCCCTGTCGACGGCTTCATCACACACTTCTGTCTGACAGGATTTCTACATACGCTGCCTTTTGTTGCCTTCGATGGAAAACGCTGCAAGAATTTCCCAGAAGTCCTGTGTCAAAATATACCTGTGCACAAACCCAGAAGGTACGTGCGTCCATGTCCGGTGGTGGGGGGTGGGGGGGCATTACGGCGGCAGAAACATGTTCGTGGTGAGAGGAGCGGGTTTAAGCTTTAAAAGAAGGGTGTTTCAAAGTGGACTATGTGAGACTCCCAGCTTTGCAATAGCGGTATAGCGAATGCTAATGTGAATGCGTGCGAGGATCCATGGGAAGGTAACGAGGGTGTGTGTTCAGATTCAGAGCTGGAGAGAAAAGTTCTGCGGGAGTCTGTCTTCCCGAGGCTAAGAGACCACTGCCTCCGTGCCCACCGGCTGGACTTCAGGGTAAGACCCCACACACATACACACACACGCCCCCCAGCACCAGCGAGCGGGTCCTACCCCTTCACCAGGAAAGTTAAAAGCTGTGTATGCGGTTTAGGGGCGGGTGGGGCTCTCTGCAGCGAATTTGCCCTCATATCCAACCCAAGGGCTTGGGGAAAACATTTGCCTGCTGTGGATGATATGCTTTGAATGCTCCCTTTGTTTCTGCAGCATGCATAATTTATGTTTCAGTTCGCAAAAAATTAAGAAAAGTGTTTGCCTGGAAGGTCTGGCGGATCGGCCATGCGCACAGTCAGAGAGACATCCCGAACAACGGTCACATGGCTGCATTGTTTATTTTTTCAGGAGGTCACCCTATCCTACCATAACAAAGAGAGAACCTCACATTTGCATGATATGCTTCCAAAAATATAAATGCGTTTCTCATAACCATCGTTTTGGTCCCCGCTGAGAATAAAGGTTTGATGATGGTGTCCACAGTGACTCGTTCAAAATCAAAGATTCACGAGAGATTATTCTCAAATGCACAGTAAACAGCTGGTTACACCATGCAATGAAATTCTTATTCTGCATTTCCTTCCAGCCCCCAGTAAACACCAATAAATCACAAATACAAATTAAGGTGCTTGCAGTAAGACAATAAATACATAAATAGTACAAAGCAAATCGGTTTTCCTTCCAGCAGAGCACTAGGCTCCAAATAATGCCAATGTGGTTTGTATTATACAGTCAGCGCTCCATGTCTACGGGAGGTTGGTTCCAGGCCCCCGTGGTTTGTATTATACAGTCAGCCCTCCATGTCCACGGGACGTTGGTTCCAGGCCCTGTAGACAACAAGACCCACAGATGCTCCCTTCTAAAAAATGCTACAATGCTTGCATATAACCCCCCCATAAACTTCAAATCATCTAACTAATAATACCTAATCCAATGTGAATAGTTGTTTTACTGTATTGTTTAAGATATTATGCTTAGTATATATAGAAAATTAAATGTATTCTCTATCTCACACACACACAAAGACCCATAACTACACAGTACTTCATTTGCATAGATTAAACATAGTGCTTGGCTCGTGGCAAGTTGAAGCTTTGCTTTTTGGAACTTTGGAATTTGTTTTTTCAAATATTTCCGATCCACAGTTGGTTGAATCCGCGTATTTGCATTCCATGGATATGGAGGGCCGACATACCTACTGAGACTGAGATGACCTCCTCCCCCCCCAGGTGATCGACCCTTACGAGAGCCCTGGATGCCAAGGGCCTCCAGGGCCCAGGGCCCGACAGCAGCTTCTGGAGGAGTGCCGGGTCTCATCCGCCGGCCCCTTCTTTGTGGTGATTCCATTTCCATGCTCTCAATGTATCATGTGTTCAATAATAAATTTAAATTTATTATTTGAATTATCAAAGCCATGTAACATGTTTCTCTTTTTTGGGGGGGGGGGCAGGCCCTGCTGGGGCAGCGGTATGGCAGTGCAGGCCTACCCACACAGATAGAGGTCTCAGAGTTTCAGGCAGTGCTATGGACATGCCAGCAGATGGCGCTGAGCACGAAAACTCTAGAGCGCTGGTACCGCAGGGATGACAACGCCATCCCCGCCTCCTTCTTCCTACAGGTAGGCTTACATATCAGCATCACCTTAGACACCGAAATATCTCCACAGTGGCACCATCTCAGCAGGCAGTGTTTCAGCTCAGCTCACGCACGACATTCCTCAGGCAGGTGAAGAACGTGAGGAGAGAGAGGCGGCCTATGAGGATGTTAGGATGATCCTTCAGACCGTTGTGACACGATGCGTTCAGGAAAGGATTCTGACCTCTGAAAAGGCACGGAAGTACTTCACCTCGGGTGAGGGGAAGCCGGTCACTGTGCTGCTCTGTCATGGCTGCTGATGATTAACGTAGATTCATCTTTTTGCTTGTTTTTCATGCTAAGTTGGTATGTGCTGAGAATCAGTGTTTATTCCAGTCAGTCATATAGTAGAGTTTGGATGGTGACAATTAAAGGTTTTTAACACACTCTCCCGCCCCCCCCACAAGCTCTAGAGAGCGAACTAAGATTTGCACTGGAGGACCGTCCCCTTGAAGATGTCGAGAGGTGCTTCTGTTATGTCCACAAGATCGCTGACATGAACGACCATGGAGAGGCGACCGGAGAAGCTGAGCCGGGCTTGGTGTCGGACCCCCCGGACCAGGCCTCTCTCAACAACCCCTTGATCTATCTTCAGGAGCAGTTACTACCAAGCCTGGCTGCTCCCAGGAAGATCCTCATCTACACATCCAGCCCAGATGAGGAGGACACAGAGGCCAGGAAGCAGTACACCGATGTCCTGTGCCAGCAGCTCTACACTGACCTGCAGGACATCATCAACCGCACTCTCGTTAGGGACCAGGCACACGCCAACGACCCCCTCTTCCAGGACCTCCTCCAGCAGTGGGATCTCTGCAATGTCTACTCTCGTCTGTACAAGGTGGAAAGTCCGGAGGTCCAAGATGTAAAATCATATCTGGAGCAGAGCGATACGAAATACCCGCTCATCCTCAGCGGGCGACCCTGCGCGGGCAAAACCGTGCTTCTGGCTCACTGTGCCACACAGGTAAGTCAATCACTATTTCCCAGTTTCCACTAGTTTCCTGACAATTTCAGATGATATAAATGTCATAGATGTTAGACTGCATCCATGTTTTATCGGTTGTTTTATCGAGTTGTTGCAGAACATCCACAGATTGCACTGTACTAGGGCTGCCGCGATTAGTCGACATAGGCGATGACGTCGACGCTGAAAATGCATCAATATCAATATTTTAAATCGACGCATCATTTCTTTCATTAAAAAAAAAGTTCACTCTTTATAACAAATGTTTTCCTTCAACATTAGTACATAATTATGGGAGTAGTTCAAATGATCAGATTACAAAAAGGAGGTTTTACACTGTGCAAAGTTCTAGCGCACTAGCGCTATGCATGAGCACCTGAAGAGAAAACACACAGACGCTATTCTGGATGATGGACCTCCAGAGTTGGCAAAACCCACAGAAGTGCTGTCTGTCTGTGTTTATTAAATTACCATTAGAACGGAGAGCTTTTAAATATCTTTTGTTCTTGTAGCTGCTAAGTACACTCATCATTAAAGCCATAAAACCGTCTGCCTGCTACCTTAGAATTTCCATTGAATAGGTGTTTGTGAAAATGTTTTGGCTAAAGTCTGGGCTTATTTTACATCGATTGATGGTCCCGGTGTGTGTTCGTGCACATTGGGCTCAATGGGAGGAATATTGTTATTGTAAGCTAAAATTAAAATGAAAATGGACACTAAATAAAAGAAAATGAATTTGTGAACTGAAATAAAAATGAAAACTATTTCTGCAGAAAGTACTGCCCCCCCCACCATCTTTTTACCTAGATTAACCACAGTATGTTATGGCTGCTGAGTTTCCCTTTCTTCACTACGACTGCAGTGCTTATCGCTTTCATGATTTACCAAAACAGTAGCATGTGGCGTTTTCCGCTAACCGAATTTAATGAGCATAAAGATACGATGAATTAATACATATTACTAACTTTTGTGCATCACAATACACTTCTAATTAATATTATAGGCATATTACTAATCTGCTTTGCGGGTGAAAATAATGTCAAGTAAATGGTCAATTTGATTTTCTGGAGGAAGATTAATCGACCAATCGGTAAAATAGTCACTAGATTAATCCCTAGAAAAATAGTTGTTAGTGGCAGCCCTACACTATACTATTCAGTAGTTAAACACCATTTTCAACAGATTTGTTTCTTTGCAGGTGAAAACTTGGATGGACGGGAAACACCCTTTGGTGGTGGTTTATTTTGTGAGGGGCGGCACTCTGAAAGAGCTACTCATCAGTGTGTGTCACCAAATCACAGCAGGATGCCTAGATCTGCCTCACCTCCAAGCATTCCAGTCACTCAGTCAACTGGTTGAATACTTTACAGACCTCCTGATTAGGACTTCCACATCAAAACGTCCTCTAGTCCTCATCCTTGATGGGCTGGACCAATTGGGTCATGAGGAAGACGGGTCCTGCAATCTCACATGGCTTCCACAGTCTTTACTTTCCAACGTCAAACTCCTTATTTCCACAACACCTAAAAAGTCAGCAACCCTTCAGACCCTCATGGCTCTGTACTCAAAATCTTCTCTGTTCTTGGAGCTGGGCCTGAAACAGAAGAGGAAACTCACCCAGATGCTCACAGACCTCCTGTTTGACTACAACAGGAGGATCACATCAGGACAGCAGATATATGTGGGTCAAGCCCTGGAAGACTGTCCTCTCATGATGTATGTTGAATTACTCCACAGGCAAGTGTGTGAGTGGGGATCCGAGACAGAGGTCACTGAGCATTCCATAACCACAGGAGTCCACAACAACATCGGTATATTCCTAGGCAGGCTTGAAAAGAAACATGGGACAGAGTTAGTCTCCAGAGCGATGTGCTATCTCACCGTATCCAGGCTGGGCCTCACAGAGGCTGAGTTAACTGATGTCCTATCTGCAGACAACAGAGTGCTTTCTCAATACCTGCCTTGTGGAGAAACCCCACCATATAAATTCAGGGTCCCAGAGACTGCAGTAGAGGGCCTGCTCATTGACCTGAGGGGGTTTCTCCTGAGGAGGTATGTGGCTGGATGCAAGGTGCTCTTCTGGGCCAGCAGACATTTCCCACTAGCCGTGAACAAGCTCTACATGAGTTCAGATGAAGTAACCCAAGAAGTCCACACTGTGTTAGCAGACTACTTCAGTGGACGCTGGGCATATGGTAGAGCTAAGTCACTAATTGTCAGCAGGGATACCATCAAGCAGTCAAACTCCCAGCCTGCTCCTCAAATAATACCAGAGAAAGTTTACATTGACAGGCAACACCCTGGGCAGCCTTGGCTCATTGAGTCTCCCTTATCACGCTTTGTGCAAGTAAACTTGAGGAAGATTCTGGAGCTTCTCTTCCAAATGAAAGCAGGCAGGAGGTTGGAGGAGTTGGGAAGGACTGTGATGTCTTTTGGGTTCCATGAGGCGATGCTGAAGGCAGGTCGGCTGGAAGAATTAGTCTCAGAGCTACAAGACGCTTCCTTACTTGTCTTCCACCAAGAGCTTCGACTTCTTGCCAGCATCTTTAAAGACTCAGTCTGCCTGCTCCTAGACTGCCCTGAAGAGTTGCCTATGGTGATCCAGGCTAAGCTTCTCCCATTCCTTGATGTTGTACCTAGTCTTGAATGCTACATAAAACAGGTCTTTGAGGAAGGCAGGAAAAACAATAGCTTGTCCGTGGTTCATTCCTCCATCACCACAGTGCCCTCAACGCGCTGGATGCTGTCGGATGTGGACCCTTCCCCCGTCGTGCAGGTGTTAGATGTTCAATGCAACACATTACTGATAATTCTCCAGAATGGGTCCCTTTGGGCTTGGAATGAGCATATCCCAGGAGGCTTTCAGCACATTCACTTATCAAACTTGGAATTTTCAGGTGGCCAAAGTGCACAGGATTTTCTGTTGCTGTCAACACAATGTGGGAGGCTCTTCTTGTGTCACTTTCCTGGCCCCTCGTGCATTTGTGAAGTAAACTCTGAGAGCAGCCTTCCTGACTCACACACGGGCCGAGGCACTAGACTCCAAGTTGAAGGCTTCTTTGTGTCGGACAGTATATTGTTTGTGTGGTACAAAGACACTAGTCATGTTAGTATGTTCGATATAAACACAGGAGCAGGACTCCCCCCACTATGCTGCCAATCCAGAGTGAGCTGCATGTCATGTTCCCCTAATGGCCTTCTCATCCTATGTGGACAGGATGAAGGCAAGGTCTTGCTGTTTGATGTTCAAAGGAAACATCAACTTTCCACATGCTTCAATCCAGAGGGAGGCTCTGTTATTTCTATTCACTTTCATAATGAGAATGAACTTGTGTGTGTGGACAGCTTTGGGAGTGTTTTTGTATGGGATATGAAAACCATATCTGATCCCAAGCTTAAGAAATCTTGCTGTTTTACTGAGGACCAAGATGTTGTCTTAAATACTGAACACTCACATGAAAACAAAGCCTTAGTCATTTGTAAGAAACACCAAGTCTGGCTGTGGGACACTAGTGACTGGACAATGGAAGAGCAGTTTAGCGTACCTGCAGGCAAGGCTTTCACTCGAGCCACGCTAGTCAAAGGGGGCCATCTTATCATTGCTTCCCTGGAGGATTGTCCATTTCTACTGGTGTGGAAGACGACCACTGGTCAATGCGTTCTGAGTCTAGATGTTGGTGACACCCAAGTGATTAAGTTCCTCAAACAGGAGTCAACCCTTTTAGCCATTACTGCTAATGGAGTACTCACTGCTTGGGGCTTGGACTTGATCTGGCGGGCCTCCGCGATCTCCAGAACTGGTATAAAGGTGAAAAAGATCCACTTGGAACCAACTGGAGGTCACTTTTACACTGCAGATGGCACTGAGCTGGTGTGGAGGTGGGACATGCTTAGCGGGAGAGCTGGGGCATGCTTCAAGCATGAGGGACGTATAAAGACATTTGCCCTCTCTCCAGACTGCGAGCATCTTGTCTCTGCATCCGCAGTGGACATCTATGTCTGGCGGACAGACACGGGGCAGAATCTCCATCGCGTACGGGGCAGCAATCCCATTTCCAATCTGCTCGTCACACCCAACAGCAACTTTGTGGTGTCACTGTGCCAGAGAGGCCTCTCTCGGGTTTGGAATCTGAACAGCGGCCACATTGTATGCAGCATTCACCTGCACCTGAGAAACGCCGCCATCTCTGCCGAGAGCACCTTTCTCCTGGGCCTTCACAAGCACGACCTCCTGGCCATCAGCCTGTGGTCTGGCTGTACCAACAAAAAGTTCTCCTGCTCCAGCAAGTTAGCTGTAGTAGCCTTCCAACCTCTGCTGCACCATCCTGACTATGTGCTGGTGCTCAGCAGTTCTGGCTACCTGTTTACTTGGAAGGTCACAGAAGAAACCATCTTCCAGCATGTTCAGGTACCTCACACTCTTCTGGACCAGCCAGACTTATTTCAGTTCTCCTCAGATGGAAAGTATGTTGTTCTGTCCACTACTGGAACGACCATTAACATCCTGGACACCCAAAATGGGAGACTGTGTTTGTTAGAGGCTGAGACCCCACTCACGCTGGTTAGCATGGACATTGCTGGACGCTACATTGCGTACATTTGTGTGCCTGACCCCACTGAGTGTGCCTGTGACCTCCATTGCAAGCCAACACTCTCTGTGGCTGACATATCCAATGGAAAGAAGGTGGGGAGGCTCCGCCTTGGTTCATTCCCCTCCACCCTGAGGCTCTCAGACGAACTATGTGTCTATGTGGGATTCCAGGATGGCTCTGTGGGCATTTATGCTATTTCTGACATGCCGGATAGCAGTGACATCATTAGGAGGCGCCTCAGAGATCTCGGTCAGGCGACTCAATGTCCATATGAAGAACCCCAGGTCTGGGAACCACTCACAGCACACACTATAACATTTGTGGATCCTGGTTCTGAAGTGTGTTAAGCCACATGGCCTCCCCACAGCGACAGCAATGATCCTTAAGGAAAACCCGTGACATGGTTTCCCAGCCATTTTGTGTAACTCTGCGTTAACTTTTGAATGATACATAAAGCTTGTAGATAACTTTAGACTAGTCTGTCTAAATAGTAATTCATAAGTAATATTGTGCCTTTGAATTATCTGCTTTTTTGCTAACTATAATAATGGTGAACAAGTTATTACTGCTTCAGGTAAACAAAATATGAATCATATTGAAATAGAAAGTTGTGTACCTAAATATTATTTTTTACAGAATAAACATTTTGCATGTTTTTTCTATTAATCTGGCAGCTTTGTAATAACATATCTGCTTAACTGGTTATCTAATATTTTATCAAAATAAAGTTATAATGTTATAAATTCGTGCATCTGTATATTTCACTAAACCCCAGTTAAATTATGTACCTTGCTCTACGATGGACTGTTTAACTACTATGCACATTTGAAGTTCATCATCACAAACTAAATTTTGTGTCGATCTAAAACAGCACCTTTGACAGGGCAGTAGTTGAAAAATTCTAAACTTCTAAACGTGGTGTCATTATTCTGTAGAAATGCACAGAAATACACGTACCAGGGCTGCCAACTCTCACACATCTGGCGTGACACTCACAATTTCGGACTCTAACGCAAAAAAAAATCTACAGCAAATCTATTTTAATCCATTATAAACCCAAAAATTGCCAGTCAGTATCATTGGGATAGTCTGCAAACCATACAGACTATTTACAATGTAATAAACCTATAACATACATGTAAATGCGTGTGCATACTTGTCTCAAATTAAAAACTCACGCCAGCCAGCTGACCAAAGTTGGCAACATAGTACTAAGCAAATAACTGTATAAGCCAGGGGTGGCCAATCTTATCCGCAAAGGGCCGGTGTGTATGCGGATTTTCGCTGCAACTCCCTAATTAGATTACTAATTAGAGGACTGATTGGCTGAAGAGTCCTCACACCTGCGTTTGAACAGATGACCTACAGGTTATCCCAAAAACCTGCATACACACCGTCCCTTTGCGGATAAGATTGGCCGCCCGTGGTATAAGCCGAATAAAAAAAGTTATTTAAAATACAGGTTAAAATTCAATGGATATATACTGTATACACAAGTACCGACCTTAAAGAATTACCCTGGGGTATTGAAGGTAATATGATGTACGAGTGTATGTGCCTTCGGGAACGATGGTTTAATTAAACCTCTCCACGGTGTACCAACTACCAAGGTAGGCGGTTAGAAGATGGATGAATTAATTGCGACGGGCGTTGAATGACTACAACTACCATTAAGCAAAGGGAAACCGCCTCGCGCAGGTCACAGTGGATATAAGTACTTCCGCCGGAAACGGCAGCCCTTTCCTCTCTCAGGCACGAAGATGGCGGTGCAGATCTCGAAGAAGAGAAAGGTTAGCGTATATTTAGTTTACTCTGCATTCTAAAAGAACTGCAAATGGTATCCGATCGAAGTGTGTTCTTGTCACAAGCAGTCTTGTGGGTCCCCCAGAGTGTTTTCATGTGCCCTCTGACATACTCAGAGAGAGGATTACTTTGGATTGGAGCGGCGGCGTCTTGCTGCCGTCGCAAACATGGCAGGGGTTTGGCTTCCTGCAAGTCAGTTTTTTGGTTTTGGTATAAAATACGCGTCATTCAGCTTGGCTAGTTTAATGCTGTAAATTTTAAATAGGTAATTAACCTTACCAGCAGTACTTGTATGCGCAAAATATGAGTTCGTGTCCTCGTAGATGTCTGTGACTGGGCCGGAGAAATAGACCCGGCATTAGCCGTACTGTAATGGAGGGAGTAGCACTGTCCCTCATACACGTGTTTTTATAACCTACAATTTTTTCAGTAATGGATGACGCTCTGCGTAGCAGCTTTCAACAAAAAAATGGGGTCGGACGGCACCCTGACATTAACCACGTTTCCTCCGCAGTTCGTGTCCGACGGCATCTTTAAAGCCGAGCTGAACGAGTTCCTGACGCGGGAGCTGGCCGAGGACGGCTACTCCGGCGTGGAAGTGCGAGTTACCCCCACCAGGACAGAGATCATCATCCTAGCCACAAGGTGGGGACCTGCCATCACGTCTCCTAAGAGCCTTTTAATTAAAGAAGTATTTCTTTAAAAGATATAGAGTGTAGTAGTGGTTAATCACATGTCCCATGAGACATTTCCTGGTGTGATAGTAAATATACCAGTTTAAATGGTACTATGCTTCATGGCCTGGGATGACTGTTCATTATGTGACTGGCCCTCTGTGGACGCACTGATGCTTCAGGACCCAGAATGTCCTAGGTGAAAAGGGGCGTCGCATCCGTGAGCTGACCGCTGTTGTCCAGAAGAGATTTGGCTTCCCTGAGAACAGTGTTGAGGTTGGTGACGGTGACCTGGCTTAATGGCTTCATGCTACCTGTTGACTGTTACAGCTTAAGTCAGCTGGTATAAATAATTCATAGCTATGATGCGGCCTTTATCAATATAATGCACTAATTACCGATAGACACCCAAGCCTCAGAATATCTCACTTGGCAAAAATTATTGTTGGTAGTAAACTTAGTCTCTGCTTTCATCTGTGCTTGTAACTGAGTGTAGATCAGATTTTCAACTTTGGGTTCCTTTGAACCCAGTTAAGTATATGTGCTGAGGTCCCCTGCCGTTCAGACCCACCTGCAGCCATGTGCCTTACCTTCTGTGCTGTGACTGTGTTGTGACTGTGTTTTGCCGTCTTCTCTCCAGCTCTATGCTGAGAAGGTGGCCACCAGGGGACTGTGTGCCATCGCCCAGGCCGAGTCTCTGCGCTACAAGCTGTTGGGGGGGCTGGCTGTGCGCCGGTGAGTGTGTTCTGCCTTCGTAGCCTTAAGAGCAGCCCTGTGGTTCTATGGCCAGAGGATGGTGTGAGGTGCTTGGCTGGTGATCGGCTGGTTGCTAGTTTGACCCCACTAGTGATGGTTTTCATCAATGAGATCATGGACCCTAATTGTTCCAGTGAAATGTAGTTTACTTGAGATGGATTTTGGGTAGCGATGAGCATGTTGGTTAATCAGCTATGAGCCTTGATCTTCTGTATGGTGTCTCAGGGGCTTCATGGGTCATTTTCTCTGAGCTCCTTCTGTTAAAAAGTAGGGAAATTTAGTAGTATTGGTGCTCATAGCTTAAAGCTAATAATTTAATGTAGAGATGTATAAACAAACATTTTGGCAGCTGAGAATGATGAAGCTCTGTTTCAGGGCCTGCTACGGCGTCCTCCGCTTCATCATGGAGAGTGGAGCCAAGGGCTGTGAGGTGGTCGTGTCTGGCAAGCTCAGGGGTCAGAGGGCCAAGTCCATGAAGTTTGTCGACGGGCTGATGATCCACAGTGGAGACCCCGTGAACTATTACGTGGACACAGCTGTCCGCCACGTCCTGCTCAGGCAGGGTAAGTGCCTGGTCACCTGTTCACAGCAACCATGGCCTTCTATGAAGATACGATGACGAGTCGGAAGAGGACGTGCCTTGTCCCTGGGGTGCTGCGCAGGGCTACGTTCTGTATCCCTGTGTCCTGGCCTCAGAGGCAGGGTCTCCTCATTGCTTGAAGACATTGAGGCATTTGTCTGAGAAGGCCTGCAGTGCATTCTGGGTGATGACATCAGAGTGAAACTGTAGTCGGGCTGACCCAGGTGGTGCTTCTCTCCAGGTGTGCTGGGCATCAAGGTGAAGATCATGCTGCCTTGGGACCCCAGCGGCAAGATCGGCCCCAAGAAGCCCCTCCCCGACCATGTGAGCATCGTGGAGCCCAAGGATGAGGTTCTCCCCACCACTCCCATGTCAGAGCAGAAGGGGGCCAAGCCGGAGGTCCCAGTCATGCCCCAAGGAGGCCCAGTACCAACCGCGTAAGGGTAAGGAAAACCCAGACGAGTGCTGTGTGAGGATGGTTACCTGGATGCGCTGAGTGTCACTTAAACTTCCCTTCGCTGAGGATACGATGACGAGTCAGAAATGGACGGAACTGGGCCCAGGATTCTGTTTCAGGGACACGTTCTGTGTGTCTGTTCAGGTCCCGGTCCCTGGTCGCCTATGCTTGATGACATTGAGGCATTTGTCTGAGAAGGGTTACAGTGCTCGCTGACAGTAGCGTTGTGTGTAAACAGCCGTTTATAGGCGTAGCTTTGCTTCTGTTCTGATTGCTGCCTTGACCAGCATATTTCTAAAGTGTCTTAAACTTTGTTTTGCAGGTGTTTGCTGTTTCTCGAAGATGGAAACACTTGGATTTTCTGTACAATAAAACTTCTACAAACCATGACAGCTGTGTTGGTGTTACTGAACATTTTTAAATGGTCATCATAAATTTGAGTTTGCTTTGAGCTCATTTCAGCTGATTGGGCCAGATTGAGATACATAGGTCTCCCAACGATTTTGGTCACACCCTGTTGCAAATTTAACCCTGTTGAACCAGCTGACGGCGGTTGCTATTGCTGCTTGTATGGGTTTTTTCTGTGAAGTGAACCATAAGTACCAGTTTGTACCTTTGCTTGTCACTGGGGCCGTACCCTCAAGGGTCTGCTAATTGTACCCTAAAGCTGTGGGTAATTGTGTCTTAAGAGAATGAAATGGACTCCCAACATTTCTGTACCATTGTCAGTATATTATTGGATTTTGTACATTGAGGATGTTCCTTGGACTCCATTTCTGTACTTTAGGGTGCAATCCCAGAGACAAGGGCAGGTACAAACTGGTCCTTTTTCTGACGGTACTTTAACATAATTGTTAAAATAGTGTTTTACTTGTCAGTCTTTCAACTTGAGCCCAGGTGAGGGTTACGGTAAGAAAGTTGTGTTGATGTAAAAGGTGAGAATATACCTACTAGGATTTAGTCTTGCTGTATTCGCGTTCACTCCTATAGGCTACCTGTTTATTTTTTTGTAAATGTGTCGGCAGAAATCGCGATTTGGCAGTAAGGTTATTATTTGATATGTTCTAAATTGAATTTGCAGTGTTTTAGTGTCCGGTATGATCATTGTCACTTTGTTGCATGGAGTTTAAGGTGTGCTGTGACAGACCTCCCTTCCGCCCAGGATGTTGTTTTATGGGCAGAAGATAAACGTTACAGAAAACCGAACTACACACCGCTTTAGTCACGCTCTCGGGGAAACTTAAATGTTATCTCAAGCGTAGGAGTGGCTTTCGCTGGTAACCACACCCGGCAAACTAATGCACCTGTCCTCCCTGCGACAAGTACACTGAAGGGACAAATACGTATTCTGGTCGAAAAGTAGAAGAATGAGTCTCCCTGATTACAGGTCCGCCGGAAAACAGTCCGCTCCCAGCATTCAGCTGGTAAGATTTCGCTGCTCTCATTTTGTGAATTAGACACGTCTGAGGTGTTATGTACGGAACTTTGATTTTCATAGTTTGGGGCTAGGAGGATTGCCCCCCCCCCCCCCCCGAAAAGCGCGTGAGGCAGGGTTTATTTTAAGAAGATACGATGCTGATAATAATTTTACGATGTTGAAGATAAGTACATGCAGGGGAGTTTATAGCTATTGAATAGACCAGGGGCTAAGTCAAGTTTACCTGGCGCATTACTTTATTTTTCGAAAGAAGATTGGCATAGGGGCTAAAACACTCGGGGAAGTACATATAACCCCGTATGTATGAAGTTTGGTCGCGGTCCGGGTTGGAGGTTCCCCTCCCAAAGCCGGGGCGTTCGCTGGACCACCCCGCGTCCCTCTGCGTCTCCTGGAGCCTCAAGTATGGACTGCAATCGGTATTTTTACCGGTAAATTAAGCCTGTGATCCGAATACAATGGACAGTAGACATCGACCAAAAGCCCAGGAAAGCCCTAAAATTCCGTGAAACTATTTTAATAATCGAAGCAACAACGTCAGGATAAAATTTTCTAACACTGCTCTGTGCTCTATGAACATTAAACGTATTATTAGTGTTGATAATACGACAAAAGATAACGTAACTAGAACAATATAATATATAAATAAATTAGGCGTATTTTTAATACATATTTTAACTCCACTATATATTTATTAGAAAGTTGAAAAAAGACCTTCGTTTGACATTATTTCATTAGGTCTTAAGTGGAATATTTAAGTCAAATTACATCTTGTATTATGTATTATGCTAACAACTCAGGCTGACAGAATGGCTACTTTAGCATCTGCTTAAAGGTACAGAGATCATTTATTAGTGGTGTATTTGACTGATTCGCAGCATTCGCCGATCGTGCAGCTGAATGTGGGCGGGAGGCTGTACAGCACGTTGCTCAGCACTCTCCGGCAGTGTCCCGGCTCCAAGCTGGCGGACATGTTCAGTGGCTCGCCCAAGCTGCGCACAGACGCCGAGGGGCGCCACTTCATCGACAGGGATGGCACGCACTTCGGGAAGGTCCTAGAGTTCCTGCGCTCAGAGACGCTACCCTCGGAGAACGTGTGGGAGGTGTACAGGGAGGCCCTCTTCTATGACTTGAAGCCCCTGGTCAAGCAGCTAGAGGAATCGGCCCCGCTTTTTGGGGAGATGGTGGCCAGGCAGCAGTTCCTTGCCAGGGTACCTAACTACAAGGAGAACCTGGAGGTGATCATCAGGATCGCCCGTGCTGAGGCCATGGCATCCCGCCACTCTGACGTCATCGTCTGCATTCTGAGGACGGAGGAGGATGTGACCAGGTACAACAATGCCATCAACGACTTGGATGCCAACAAGGAGTCGGTGGTGAGATTTGGGCCATGGAAGGCCTCACCCACTGTCGGAGACCTTCTGGACTGTATCAAAAAGGACATCGAGGCCAAAGGCTACAAGATTAGTTTTAAGCCCCACAGTGCAGAGAAGGGGTTCGTTTTTAAGAGTTATGACTTTTTCCACAAATTAATTTTCACATGGTGGTAACTAGTTCACTTCCCCTGAAATTTTGTGGATGCCAAATTCTGGTTATGGAAGTGACTGATCATTTAAAGCCAATCAAGCTGTAACCACAAGATTCAAATCTAGTCTTATAATCTTCTTAAAATCTTTACAGTGAAACACAGTGTTGCTCTGTGGTACAAGAACATTCCACAAGGATTTTTTTTTGCCTTGTGTCTTTTAGAATTTAATATAAGAGAACGACAATTCATTCAATACATACATTTATAGTCAGAGATTTGTGTCAGCTGCTACATTTGGAAACCTTGTGCTGGCAAATATGCTGTACCTACTTCCATCAGAAAGTATATCGGTATAGCTGCATATCAGTGAGCCAGCTGTCCAATTCATTGTAATAAGGCATGTAGTATCTCAAATTGTAAATAAAGACTCCACATCAAATAAAGATAAATTAAACCAATGCCTCATGATTTATACTTAATGCGAATGGCATTTTGGGGGATTCCCACATCCTCCTTTTTAGGCGGAATTGTAAGGTGAAGACCAATACACTTTTATAAATAAATACTAAATGGCTCTTTGCAATGGCCACATAATCAAAACACATTTTCCTCCTTCGTTATTCATTTACAAATAATGAATAACAACATCTTTTCCTGAAATGCCTTTTTTTGGAACTACGGCAACCGAGGAAGGACAAACCGTGCGCACTGCTGAAAACGACACTTAAGCAGGATTTGAGGCCTGGCTGTATATATCGTAGCTTAGCCAAGCTACTGAGGCAGTCGGCGCAATGGCAGCACATTTGAAAAAGCGGGTGTACGAGGAATTCTCAAAAGTTGTTCAGGTAACTCACTGTCCAGTAGGATGAGACATGGGCTTGTGTGTGGGGTTAATATTTGAGAAGCGGAATTTCCCTCCCCCCATTTCAGAGTGCGTAAGTGAGAAGCTTATCGATGGTCACGTCAGGCTGAGGACGCTGGTCGGTCTCTCCTTGTCGGACGGGATCGGCAGGAAAACCCGCGGCTTTTGTAACTCTAAGGTCTTCGCTTTTAGTTCGGACTCTTCGATATTGCTCCTGTGTGCCGAAGTTTTGCTACTATGAATTTGCTGATTTGTAGTTTGATTTTGTGATGATGTGCTAGTTAACGAACGGTGAAAATATTATCAATTATCAGAAAATAAGTAACACTTTCAGCCCAAATACCAGTTTAATATAATTAAACGGAATTCTAACTAGTAAATACTGCAAATAACTGGGAAAGTTTCGCCATCAAATATAAGCACAGTGGAACACAAATGAAAATAAAACGTCCTGAATGCTGTATTACTGGTAAATAGTAAATGGACTGCATTTATATAGCGCTTTTCTGCTCCTACGAGTACTTAAAGCGCTTTACAATTCATGTCTCACATTCACCCATTCATACGCACATTCATACACTGGTGGCAGAGGCTGTCATGCAAGGTGCCAACCTGCACACCTGGAGCAATTTGGGGTTCAGTGTCTTGCTCAAGGACACTTTGATGGGGTCAGGAAGAACCAGGACTGGAACCTGCAACCCTCCGGTTGCCGAGCGATAGCAGTACCTCCTGCGCCACCATCTCACAAAATGTATTTGAAATGCCCTCTTCCCATGCATTTCATAACCACGTAATGACTTGGGTCCATCCTCTGCGTGTGTTGGGTTTTGACCGAGCCTGCATTCACAGCAGCACTCCCATGAAGAAACCCCCACCAAGAAGCTCCGCCTCAGCAAGCCCAGCAAATCGGCGGCCCTGCACATCGACCTGTGCAAGGCCAGCTCACCCACCGACGCCCTGCAGTACCTGCTGCAGTTTGCCCGCAAGCCCGTGGAGGCAGACAGCGTGGAGGGTGTGGTGCGCATCCTGCTGGAGCATTACTACAAGGTGATGGCATTTGGGGGGGGCTTAGATCCACAGGGTTGTGTGTTTAGAACCCACGTTAGATTCCCAAATCAATGTGTTGAGTGACCTGCAGAGATGAACTTCAGAATTCATCTTTCCTGATAATAATCTGAGAGGAACCTCTCTGTGATGCAAACAAGACAGTTTTCAGTGTGATATTTCCTTGTAAACCTCGTCGTCTTGATTTTGGAGCTAAGTGGTGCTTGTCTGGCTTTTAGGAGACGGACAGCTCCGTCAGGCTGAAGATCGCCTCCCTGCTCGGCCTGCTGTCTAAAACGCAGGGCTTCTCCTCCGACTGCATCATCGATGATGTCATTAACACGCTTAACAGTGAAAGTAAGCCCCTCTCGCAGTTATTGGCTGAGTTGGAGTGTCAGCTGACTCTCTTCCTTTTTTGGTAATCTTTCTCCTTTGACTACTTTTCCCAGAATCCCACCAGGTGCTGGCACAACTGCTGGACACACTGCTGGTCATTGGGACGCAGCTCCCCGATGGTGTCAGCGTCAGACTCAGACTGATCGATGTGGCGTGCAAGGTGGGCCTGAGACACCGTGTCACCGTGTCTCTGCCTCCCTCGGCAGTCGCCTTGACTTTACATCCTGTAACATCTGTCTCTCCAGCATCTGGCTGACACATACTTCGGGGTGAGGAACAAGTGCCTTCAGTTGCTGGGATGCCTGGGTCCGGTGGACAAGCCCCCAGCTAGTGAGAGTCAGGGCGGGGCAGTGGGCGTGGCCTCCAGGGATGTTCAGGGCATCATCAGTGACTACTTCGGGGACCAGGACCCCAGGGTTCGCACTGCAGCCATCAAAGCCATGGTATGACCGGCCTCTCCTCCCACACACCTTTTAGGGGGGGTGGGGGGGCAATTATTCAGCTACAGTTCCAGCTCTAGGGTGTTCGGTCATACCAGATGTTCGGTCATGCTCAGATTGTAACCATATATTAGAAGCAGAAAGACCTTTGCTGGCCAACTGTGTTAAACATACCAGAGAATTTGTCTTTGTGGGTGTGCCCAGATATAGCATGAAACATGCAAAATAATTTACATTAAATTTCTATGCATTTTTTATACTAGACTGTCTTCAATCTGAAGAGTTAATTGTGAATATAAGTAAACAGGGGTGATGCTAGGAAGAGTTATAGAATTACAGAGTGTGCCATTGTCTGTGTAATGGTGTGTAGTAGCATTACTGTGGGAGTGAGAGCTGAGGCCATACTGTGTGATTTTCTACCTCTCTGGACTTTGTACGGCCGTGCCTGTGACACTGCTGTGCTTTCAGCTGCAGCTGCATGAGAGAGGGATGAAATTACAGCAGACCGTGTACAGCCAGGTAAGGAGAAATGGCTTTAATTAAACAAAAAAAGCAAAATATCAGTGTCTGCATGTGTTTCTAGGACAGGACAGGTTGTTCCGCTGTTGTTTATTGGTCTGTGTGGCTTGGTTTTGCCAAGAGGAGAAAGGAAAACGTTTAATGATTCGGTGAGCTGTAGCATGAGACTGGGGTAGTTGGGTTATCGGTTCTGGTTTCACAAGGCTGTGACGTGCCGCCCTTGTCCTCCAGGCCTGCAAGCTGCTCTCCGATGACTATCAGCAGGTCCGCTCTGTGGCCGTGCAGATGGTTTGGGTGCTGAGCCAGCTCTACCCCGAGAGGTATCTCTCTCCACACTATGCCGGATACCACAGATGCCAGTTCTGCTTTGAAAAATTAGGACAATTCAACATGGCTCGCGGTTTTAATCCTCTGCTTTCATCCATAGCATCGTCCCAATTCCCTCGTCCAATGAAGAAATCCGACTGGTGGACGACTCATTCGGAAAGATCAGCCACATGGTCAGCGATGGCTCATGGGTAGTCCGGGTCCAGGCTGCCAAAATACTGGTGAGCTGTGTTTTGGGGCGGGGCACTGACCCGTGTGACCCGTGCGACCCGTAGGGTGACCTTTGACCTTTGTTACCCCCAGGGTTCGATGCAGCAGGTGAGTCCACATTTTTTGGAGCAGACGCTGGACAAGAAACTGATGTCGGACCTCAGAGTAAGTCTCCTTAGGGGGCAAAATATTTCAGCAAAACTTTAAAAAGAAAAGAAAAAAAATGGGTGCTGGGGGTTGTGACGATCGCTGTGTCTACAATGACCCTGGTCTTCCGACAGAGGAAGCGGACGGCCCACGAGAGAGCCAAGGAGCTATACAGCTCGGGCGAGTTCTCCTCGGGCAGGAAGTGGGCCGACGACGCCCCCAAGGAGAAGGTGGACACCACGGCGGTGAACCTGATGGACTCGGGGGCGTGTGGGGCGTTTGTGCACGGCCTGGAGGACGAGATGTACGGTGAGTGTCCTTGTGCGGCGTGTGCCAGTCGTGCTGATACACGCCATTTACTGAGTGAAACCTTTTTTACAATGAGTCAGATTTTTTCCACATGAAAAAAAACAAACATTATTCTGAAACGAATTAACATATTTCCATAATGGCAAAATATTTGAAGGAACAAATTTGCATTATGATCAGTCATTGTATTTATTTGGAGGCAGCTTGATTTCTTCAGTTATCAGATTTGTTAAAAAAAACAACAAATAGGATATGAGTGTTTACACGTGATCAGCTTTTTTCAAATAGGAATTTGGTTTACAACTCAAGCCTGTAATGATAGGTGATAACACAAATATATATATATATATATATTATATTTTTTTTTTTCTTCATCCAACTTTGATTGGATGTAAGGTTGGTATTGCAGTTACCGATATTCAGGGCAGGCCCAACCCTGATGATAAATAATAATTAAGGAACTGGGGGTGGGGGATTTGCTGGTAGATCGATCATACCATGTTGGGGCAGCTTCCCATACTAGTTCATATCCCGCTCCTTACAATACTATGGATATTTAACTTTAATATTTTATCATTAGAAAACGAAAACGTTCTCAAAACGAATGCCTTCAGATTTAAAAAATCGGTACCAGCCTCTTATCTGATTACAAGGGGCACATTAAGCTGTTTGCAGCTGTTCTGGTTGCTTGTGTTTGTCTATTTTTTTTTTCCTTATTTTTTTAATGTTTTGTAATATGCCTCTGGGATTATATTAGGCCGCGGCTAATTATTCATATTTTTATTTTCTTGATTTATAAACCTATCAATATCCACAATCAATACACAACAGATAGGACAATCAATCAATTTAACGTACTGTCAATCAACTACAATCAATATCCAATGAAAATCCATCAAAAATAATAAATACACTCTTTTCTTTATTCCTGTAGTTAATTAACTGATAATAGATGCTGTCATATTCTTAATATTAATTTAGTTTTTCCTGAAAGGCTGCTAGCCTGCTTTCCGGAAGGCCCCTTGTTGTAATTTAACTGAAATTAGATGGATTCATCTAAAGCCATTTTTGACCGTCTGAATCGGACATTATAAAGTATAAGCTTTTTGTAACTGGCTGTATGCGGTATATTTGCCTTTTTCTCTTCACTTGTTTGCTCAAAAGAAACAAGAAAAACTTGTCACCTCTGCTGCCAGTGCCGATCGCATGTTTGACAATTTCTTCCAGCACTGATGGAACCAGTTGTCGGAATGTTGCATCGTGTTTGGTGTGAACGTTTTTGATCTGTCATGTTCACATCAAAGTATTTCGCAAATTTGTGTCTTTTTTTTTCGTGTCGCGTCTGGTGTGAGCCGGACATTAGTCTGGTCTTAAGGGAGTGTGGTCAAACCTCGAGTGCCTCATTGAAGGTCTGGCTACCGAACACCTGCTGGCTATTCCCCATAGTACCTTTCACAGATGTCTATCCAGGGATGTAACCCTACTCCTGTTTGCGTTTGCACAGAGGTCCGCATTGCGGCAGTGGAAGCCCTGTGCGCGCTAGCCCAGTCCTCGCCCAGCTTTGCGGAGAAGTGCCTGGACTTCCTGGTGGACATGTTCAATGACGAGATCGAGGAGGTGCGCCTGCAGTCCATCCACGTCCTGCGGCAGATCTCCACCCATATCACCCTCAGGGAAGACCAGCTGGACACGGTCCTTGCTGTGCTGGAGGTATGCCACCAGGGGGCGATTACACAAAAAAGCAGGTTGTAATGTGGTATTACCTACAGGTGTTTTGTGAATGTTAGCTTAATGGGTAATAATCAGGTTGAGCGTGATCACAGATCCACTGCCTCCATCTGTCATGGACAGGACTCTTCACGGGACATCAGAGAGGCTCTTCACGAGCTGCTATGCTGCACCAACGTCTCCACCAAGGAGTGTATCCAGCTGGCTTTGCTGGAGCTGCTGAAGAACCTAGCCAAGTACCCCACCGACCGCAACTCCATCTGGAAGTGAGTGTGTGGACCAGCCGGGACCTCCAGGATTTTGTAGGCGTTTGGAAGTCTAAACAGTGACCATTTCTAACTGATATGCTGCTGTGAAATGTCCTGAGGTCAAGTCAAACTTTGCAGGATATGCAGAAATGAAATGGTGCTTATCTGAAATGGAACACGGCAAGTTCGACACAAGAGACAATAATGTATAAACAAATACACTGTACACAGTGCTGCTTTTGACTAGGACTAAACAGTAGGCTTGACTTTACATTGTCTCAAGATTCGATTCTGTTCTCATTATACACATTTAACAGTACGTTTAGAAATGTACATGCCTGCTCAGATCAGCAGATGAAACAGGTGATGCTGTTCCTGTCAATCGAACCTGCCAGTGAAACTCCCCTGTTGTTTATTGGTTGGTTAAATTGGCTTTTGTTCTGTTATTTTGCACTGAAAGGATTTCAGCCATGGTTGAGGGTTACTTTAACGGGCCAAGATGGAGGGGGAGGCTGTAATGATGTCAGACCAGTGAGGAGGTCAGATGGAACATCTGAAATGCCAGCCACATGCTCCCCTCTTCCCTCCTGCTCAGGTGTGTGAAGTTCTTGGGGACACGACACCCAACCCTGGTGCTTCCCATCGTCCCTGAGCTGCTGAACACGCATCCATACTTCGACACCCCCGAGCCTGACATGGACGACCCAGCCTGTATCCTTACTGCCCCCAGTACCTGAACTTAATCCCTTCCTCAGCACCCATCTGACCCACGGTGTGTTAAGCGCATTCCACCCTTAACGCAGGCTATCAGACATAGCGGTGCTCGTGCTCGTGTTCAACGCGGCGCAGTCCTGCCCCACCATGACGGCCCTGTTCTCAGACCATACCCTCAGACACTACGCCTACCTGCGTGACAGCCTCTCGCATCTGGTGCCACAGCTCAGGGTGAGATTACCCACAATGCCTTGCTGGTTCAATACATCAAAAGCAGTGGGTATAAAAAATGAGCGTATAAATGTTTAAAATGGGACGCTTTCGGCTGCAGTTCGCTTCTGAAGGTTCTGTTCCTTGTGTCTGCTGTAGTTCGCTTCTGAAGGTTCTGTTCCTTGTGTCTGCTGCAGTTCGTTTCTGAAGGTTCCGTTCCTTGTGTCTGCTGCAGTTCGTTTCTGAAGGTTCCGTTCCTTGTGTCTGCTGCAGTTTGCTTCTGAAGGTTCCGTTCCTTGTGTCTGCTGCATTCACAGCTGCCGGGCCGGAAGCTGACGTGCGGCGCGGAACCGAGCGGCCCTGCGTCCAGCGTGGAGTCGGCCCAGCGCTTCCTGAAGGAGAGCCTGTCCAGAGTGTGTGGCCTGCAGCACCTGGACACCCGGGGGGCCCAGGCTCTGCTACAGTTCACCATCAGGTTTGCCAGCCCCCCCCCCCTTCTCTGCCTTAACGAGCCACGTCACCCTCATTCACACCAGCGTCTTGCATCCTGCACTCAAATTGGGAGCGTAGATTGACCTTAAAGGATGATGTTTCAGGTTTGAATCAGTGATCTGTTTTAGTGAAATGCACTGCAGGCTGATGTGTGATGACATCATCTTCCCATGGCACGTGCTTGCAGAGACCTGCAGAGTCTGGGGGATCTGCAGATGGAGCTGGCCGGGGCAGCGGATTTCTGTGCCACCTACCTGCACTGTCAGCTGCTACTCATGAAAGTATGGCAACGGCTGGACTCTCCCCGCAGACATGCCTGGCACTGCTGCTGGACCGGTTCACACCTGCATGTGTCACCTGCACGTTTCATTTTTACCCCCCACCCCCCCTTTTCACTAGGCTCTGCAGGAGAAGCTGTGGAGCGTGGCTGTCCCACTTTACCTGAAACAAAACGCTATGGCAACCGCAGCTGCCAAACAGGTAGGAAGAGAGGAGGTGCACGCAGAGACGGATGACCTCACTGAGCGAATATAGGGCACCAATCAGGAAGGCAATCCACTGACAGAGGCCCCTCCCCCAGCCTAAACATTAAGCTCCCCCCCCCCCTTTCTACAGATCCTGGAGGAGACGTACAAGCTGGAGTTCCTCTACGGCGGCCTGGAGAGCCCGCTGGTGGCCATCATCCACCACATGCGGCTGCAGGCCAAGGCTCTGCAGCTAGTGCTCATGGCACGCACTCGCAAGGGGTAGGTACAAGTGCCATGATGTACCATACCCAGTGTTGGGGGAGCTACTCACAAAAGTAATCAATTACAGACAGAGGTTCAGGTACAGAAAATCCTGACCGAGGTTGTTTCAACCAACCAGTTGAGTTTGAAGAGTCAGTCATGGAGTACTCGACTGGTTGGTGGAATTAAACCCTTTCCACCTTTGCCTGTAATGTAACTTTTGTGAGTAACTTCCCCAACACTAACCATACCCATCATACCAAGCAGCCCCGGGGGAAAATGGCAACTTATTTCTAATCCTTTTCAGGGTGGAGCCTCTCCTAGGTGTCTGTGAGAAGTTTCTTCAAGAAGTGGATACTTTTCAGAGGTAATGATTTCTGTGCTGGATCTCCCCCTTTTCTGGACCAGGTAAATGGTATCTCCCAACTTCCCCTCCACTAAGGTAATCATGAATTCTTCCACGGTTGGCATTTGCTCCTTGCAGGCTCTTCATTGCAGAGCTGCCGTATCTCCAGGACAGCTTTGTGGAAAAGCTGCTGGAGCTGATGCCTAGGCTTGTGGCCTCCAAGCCCGCGGACCTCATGAAGATCCTGCAGACCACTCTGAGACAGAGCGGCTTCCTGCAGCTCAAGCTGCCTGAGCAGGTGATTTCGGTGATGGGGAAAGGCGCGAAGCTCCTCCCGACCCACTGTCTGACACGTGTGTAACATGCGTGTTTGCGTGCATCAGATCCACCGTGCGACAGCGACCATAATCGAACCCACTGGAGAGTCGGACAACCCGCTGCGGTTCACCTCTGGGCTGGTGGTGGCCCTGGATATCGACGCCACCTTGGAGCACGTGCAGGATCCCCAGACCACAGTCAAGGTCCAGGTGTGGCATTTATCCTTTTACTAACTTGGTTTAGTAGAGACCAGAACAAGTCAGTCGATGATTTCACATTAGATGTTGAACGTCAGCTTCTGATATTTAAATGTTGCCCCACCTACTCAGGTGCTGTATCCCGATGGACATTCGCATATCATCCATCCCAAGCCCGCAGACTTCCGGAATCCAGGTCCCGGAAGGCACCGGCTCATCACACAGGTGTATCTGTCCCACTCCGCGTGGACAGGTAGGAATTCCTGCACCATAGCCACTCTTTACACATGCAGACACACACTGTCCTACAGCTGTATGTAGGTAGGTTGGTGCTCCTCCATATCTGAGACCTTGTGTTTCTTCAGTGGTCGGCTCCATCCAACTTGCATCCATTAGGTTGCCAGCATTTGATCCTGAGACCTCGGTAGAAGTAGGGAAAGTCCAGCAGTGGATTGTGTACATAGTACTGTAGTAAATGAGGAGAGGAGCTTCAAGGCAGCTCCTGGCTGAGGGGAATGTAATGGGCTCCAGAGAACAGAGGCACCCAAAGATCTACGGTTCAAGTGCCAGGCACCATCTGAATCCCGGTCTCCCAGTCGGTGTTGCATTCTGCTGCACGTGGAGACGCTTTCATTCCTTACACAACTGACACCAAATATCCTTCCAACACTACCTGGGAACACCAGTGAGGTATTTTCTAGATGCATTTCTGAGCCCAAGTCCATCAGCAAATTTTTGACATCTGACCCTGACTGAAATGACAGCATGCTTTCCTGTCTCTGTCACCCAGAGCCGTGCCAGATCGAGGTCAAGCTGCTGTTGGCGTATGGTTCCAGTTCAGGGCCCAGCTCCAGCAGGAGCCCCTGGAGTGAGAACACAGAGGGCCTCCAATCCACAGAGGGCGCCATCGAGGGCACCATCCCCTTAAGCAAAGCCGTTAAGGTGTTCATTATGCCCAAGCCAGCACGCCGCTGACCTCTGCTGGCCGTGGAAAGCTACAGGCTGGGGGAATCCACTCGCATGGAACAACGGAGTGACGTGTGTGGGACTCCTACTTCATGCATACAGCTGGCAACATTCCTCAGAGACTGTCTGAGATTCCTCATTAATGTCTCTCTTCATATTAGTGGGCAAATTTAGTAGCAGCTCTATTTTAGTGTTTTTTTTGAAGTTGAAAGAAGGTCCACTCAAAGCTTCTACTGCAGTCAAACTCAGAGGAGATCAAAGTAGCCTCCTGTTTATTATTTTTTACAGTCACAACAAAAGATCAGCCAGTGTTAAAAATCCATTTACACCCTTATATACTTCCTGCCAATTCACCTTAAATATCAAGGCAGATGGGGGATCTGGGCGCCTGCTTTGGTACGCAATCCCACCTGCTGAGACCGCTCTATCGCTGTGCCTGTGATGTCATCAGCAGGTAGAATGGAAGACGCCGCCCACCTTGGCTCCCTTCCCAGCCAGGGAGTTGTACTCTCTCACAGCCTTTTCAGTCTGAAGCACCACCACGTCTACTCCCTGCTTCGTCACGTAGTCTACGGTGGCAGGAGGTACCTAGTGAAGCCATTATTTTCAGCAGTTTTTTAAATCCAAAATGCATTGTTTTATTGATAATTTCAGACAATAAAGCAAATGTTAATGCAGCTTGCATCAGCTCTATAGTGATCTGACTTTGCTCCCATCTGCCCCCTATAGTTCCTGCAGTGTAATGACCCAGCCTGGCATATATACTATACTCAACATGTCTTTAAGGCCGTCTTGTGTGTTTTGCTGTAACAAACCCGCCGTCACCTTATGTGGTAACTGGTAAGCCACCCAAATGAGCATGTGCATTGGTAGCCTGGGGACAGTGTACAGCTGGAGTTTGTACGGATCTGTCTCCTGCAGGGTATGTACGGTAAGATGAGGTTAGGTTCTGTAGTGAGACACTTTCATCAGGATGGCGTACCTGCAGAGCTTCGCTCATGCCCCTCCCAATGACCAAAGTGTCCACCCCCTTCCTTAGCACCTCCTCCAGGTCAGAAGGCTGAACTCCTGGGTAATGCTAAGAAAATGTCCACAATTAGATGGCTCTCTGTGGGCCCAGTCACCTGGCAAAGGCTTTGATGCCAATAGAAAAAATGATCTGCATCAGTATATCAACACAACACAATACAAGTAAATGGGGGAGTCCCACTAACTTACATCAGTGCCAGTCTCTCTCCAGTCCCAGGCCCGACTTCCCCCAGGCCAGACTTTGCAGTCTTTGTAGGAGGAGGAGCACCCTTTAACCTTCATGTGACCCCAGGACAGGGATGCAATCTCTGGGGAAGCCATCACTTTCCTTCCAAAAAAAAAAAAGTCCTATTAATAGAGCCAAGTTTGCAAAATATTCAGCATAATTCCTGTTGTTCAGCTCATACATAAGCAGGGCAGTCTGGCACTACATGCATCTAAAAATGCAATTTACGAAATACGCGTCGTGTGTAACAGTGTTATATATATATTCGTGCTTGGTTTTATTACAGCTGCTCGCAGTTTATATTTAAAGAAACCAAAAGTACAAGGCAAGTGATTCCGACTACCCGCTTTGGGGCATCGGTCCAGACCCTCCACCGCGCCACTTCGATAAAAAAAACAAAGCAGCAAAGCCAGATTGAAAGGCTGAAGGGTATCGAATGTGCTCTTTGCCAGAAACGGTATGCATACTATGTCACGCATGCAAGTTTAGTTGTCTACGTTTCTGCAAACGTTACTTTGGAAAAACAAACCGGCTTCGCAATGTCTCATGGGTCATCAAAAGTGATTCCTATTTCACTCGACTCATTATTTTTTATTACTTAGCGGACATGCTTAAACAAAAACGATTCCCATTTATTCCTTTAATACATATATAGTATTGGGTAATTTACAAATATAGGATTATAGTAAACGACTCAAACAGTTTACAGTTTAAAAACTAGTTTGCTAAGAGCCGACAAACGCGAAATGCGTACCAAAACAAGGATATACGCTGCCGTTCCGCGGCGCACCCCAAGCCACAGAGCACTTTCAGACGGCTGGCAGATGCATAGCCAGTACGTCGTGTTTTCAGGTCCAATTAGATCCCGATTCCGCTCAAAACTGTCCAATCAGATCCCAATTCCGCTTATTACAGTTTAATTATATCCCAAATCTGTTCGATGTTGTCCAATCAGATTTCACCGTTGCCTTGCACTTTAAAAAAACAAGCCACAGCTTTAACCACAACGAGAGTCACTCAGATATGGTTTATTTGGTTGTCTATTTCTATGTATTATATATTTATTAAAAGGGCGTAGATGTTTGTAGTGGTACAGGCACATTAATGTGACATTCAAGCTGAGGATTTATCTGTCGTCGTTCCGAATTATATAAATAAATAAAAGTTCACGAACAATGAATTTCTTTCACGATGGCTAAACATTTCATTTTCTAAAATATCCTATACAAAATAACACTGAGAGCTAGCCTTTTGGGCTTACTAAACGGTCTAATTTTAACGTCACTGCAAAAACATTCATGTTGATATGTATCACCTGTATTTGAGTTAGACGGAAAACCCTAGATGGCCAGACAGTGCTGCTGATATATTTGCTCTGCTCTCCTGCATTATGTGACTATTTCACAGAATATTGCCTCGGTGTTCATACTTCTAATGACAGGTGAACCTCACGCCCACCCTGTCAAACCTTCCACGTTCCCAGCGCTTTAATGACGTCATACTCGCGCGTGGTATTGTGGGAAGCCCTCAGTCCTCCAAGCTCTGTCTCCTCTGCTCTCCCCCCGCCCGTTGGAAAAAAAAGAAAAAAAAAACATGGCTGCTCCGGCGGCAGCGGCGAGTTCTTGCCCCGGTTTGTGCCCGAGCTTCGCCGTGGTCTGCTCTTTCCTGGAGCGGTACGGGCCCGCACTGGACCTGCCAGAGCTGACCTTTCCACAGATGGAGCGATATCTGCAAGATACGGCAACGGGTACGGGGCGCGGGGGCTGAGCCGCGGTGTGCGGAGGGAGCGGGGTCTCTCCATCATCATCACCACTACCACCATCATCCTCACCCCACGTCTCCCTAGCTAGTCCCGCGAAGCGGACATTAGCAGCCGCGTTACTGGGTGGCTGTTGGAGGGCTTGCCCCGTATTTTCCTTGTCTGTTTGTGATTGACCTGTTTTGTAAAACACGAGTGTTATTTCACTCATTCGTGCTATCGAGCCGTCCCCTGCGCCGCTGACGCCATGCGCTTTCCTGTAATTTGTCACTGTAGTTGCGCCGAGCCGCCGTGCCGTGGCTGATTTTCCAGTCGGCGTGCTGCGCTCTCGGTTAGCCCCTGCTCAAACTGCGCCGGGACGGCGGAACCGGCTGGCCGTGCTTTGTTGTTGTTGCTCTTTATGATGATGATGATGAGCTTGTTGTTGTTGTTGTGAGCGCAGTATAGGCTCCTCCTGACTGGGGGCGCTGCCGCTAGGAGACGTGCTGGAAATGCGCTCGAAAATGCTCTCGGGGTCTGTGCAGTTTGACCATATTCCTGCCAGCTAGTGCGTTGCTTAGTGCACGCATGCGCACAGCGCAGCGGTTGAAACAGCCCCCCGCAAGGGTCGCGCATAATGTTACTGGTATTTTCTGTCATACAGGCTGAATAATGTAAATGTGAGGGTAATGATGGGGATAATTTTTCTCCTCTTTATTCTTATTCCTGCTGTTGTTGCTGTTATTATATACACTACATCACTGCATTCATTATTTAATCTCTTTTTATTTTGTTAATGTAACCTGAGATCAAAGTTGCCTTAATACGAACACCTTAATCACAGAGCTTGTTTATTTACAGGCAGTAAATGCTTGCCATGCTACAAAGTACCTGACCGTGAACTGACTCATTATTGCAGTTCTGTATGTGTGTGTGTTTTATTGTAAAAATTTCAGTTTGTGGTATCGGAGAAGAATTGTGTTACTTCATGGGAATGTTTTTTGGAAATTTAGCAATACTTTTGTTGTTGAAGGGATAGTTTTTTTTCCCTCCCGTCTGAAGTATGAAAGAACCATCTCTCTCTCCCCATGGTGTGACATGTGTTATGGGGTGTCCTTGTGTGAACAGTTTCTCGCATCCTCTTCTTCGTCTTTGTCTCTTCAGTTCCCAAGCTTTTGGTTGAGCTTCACGTGAAGCTGATGAGGAAGATCGGCAAATCCGTATCTGCTGACAGATGGGAAAAGTATTTGATCAAGGTGACTTGGGAGCTGGGAGGGAGCGAAAACGTGGACCGCTTGGGGGTCCCTGAGAAACGGGTTGGGAAAGACTGGTACAATTAACAGGGGGACCAGAAGATATTTGATTGACACTGCCTTTTGTTCCACCTAGATGTGTCAGGACTTCAACACCACATGGGCTTGGGAGCTGGAGAAGAAGGGGTATATGGAGATGTCCATGGAGAGCAAAGCAGGAATCCTCAAGGTATGACCAGCAGCCTCTGTGATTTTCCCTCTCATTCTCTTAGATCAAACCTGGTGTTTGGTGTATCTTGTAATCCCAGTTAACACTCACAATGTGCTAGGAGTGTAATGTTTCGGTATTGAATGCATGTGTTTAAGTGCTTCTTATGTGACCCTTAGCATGACCGGTCTCTTCCCAGTACTTGTGTGAGTGCCAGTTTGATGACAACCTCAAGTTCAAAACGGTCGTCAACGAGGAGGATCCAGATCAAATGCGAATTCAGCCCATAGGCCGAGATAAGGATGGCCTGATGTACTGGTTCCAGCTGGACCAGGATCACAATGTGAGGATCTATGTGGAGGAGCAGGATGACCTGGACGGATCCTCCTGGAGGTGCATTGTCAGGTGTGTTGTGAAAGCAATGGCATCCGTGTCACCAGACTCTGTGTTTTTAATTCTTGATATAGTCACTTGTTTTGATTTTCTCTGTGGCCTTTAAGTTCTCTTCCTCTCTGTTGCTACTGGGAGACATTAAAATGCCTCCTCAGTAAATGGGTGTTTTGCGAATTTTACAGCTATTTTGACCAACTTCATTTGTGCTCCAGAACGAGAGACGAACTGGCTGAGATCCTGGAGCTCCTGAAGGCCCAGATCGACCCAGCGCTGCTGACCAAGAAGGATATGCTGGAGGACTTGACTGGCACCAGCCCACATCAGAAGGATGAGGATGTCAAGAAGGAGGTGCCAGAAGGTGCACACAGCTCCTCTTCAACTTGCACACCTTCTGAGAGTCTCCTTGTACTCTCACCATCCGTTTCTTCTAAATGTGTTTTAATCTCCAACTAAAACCACTGTAGTAGTTGTAGTCATCTGGGAATATGCTGTATGATTTTTACCTTTGTTGGTGTTCTGACTTTCTGCTTTACCCTCTTTCACAGGAATTAAAAGTATACAGTAATGTTGTAGTCATAATTTAGACTTTTTTTTAGTTTGCTGAAGGTGTTAACATATCTTGTTTGCCTCTTAGACCAATCTGGAATTCTAAAAAAGTCTATGAAACCCGAAGAACCTTCAGAAGATGATGGCAGTGCTTTGGTCAAGGACAGCTTATGTTCTTCCTCCACAAAACGTTCAGATAAGGATGGATCCTCTGGAACAAGAGACAGAAAATGTTTCATGCAGGAGATCAAACCAGCACTGCTGGAGAATAAAGAGAATAGAGTGACTGTGGAGTCAGCAGTTAAGTTGGAAAAGCCAGTTATAGACAACAAGGTCAGAACTATCACTGCTGTCATCAAAGAAGAACCAAAAGAGCTGGACAACATCAAGAGCAAAATATTACTGGCTACTGAGGGTCCGGCCAGGCTGAAGACCCAGGAGGAAATGAGGGAGAAGACACCAGAGGAGGTTGAAAGAGCCATCAAAAATGATCAGCAGGCCAAAATCCCATTAAAGAAGAGGGAGCTCAAACTGAGAGAAGACTTTGACAATGGCTCTAGTATCATTGTCCGTAACCCGTCAGTTGCTCCCGCAAAGGAACTACTGAGGAACGAGGCAGAGAAAGCTGGAGAGAAGAGTAGAGCGCAACCTAGCATATTGGGAGGCATGGAAAAGGAGGCTAGAGGCAGCCTTGTCAACGGGGAGTCACAGAAATCCAAGGAAGCTCACGACGGCAGCAGAATCAACGACCACTTCACGGAAGGTCCAGCAGGCAAGAGGACCTCAAGCGTGAACACGGAGCAGGGTGGCATTGCTGGCAAAGAAAAAAAAAACGGACTTGTGGGAGATGGTGTGAAAACTGCACTGAATATGATGATGAGGAATGAGGAAGATAAGCCCGTTGAGCCCAAGAGAATGAAACTGTCTGAATTGGATAGGAAGATCATAGTCGTGGGGAAAAAAGAATGCATCTCTTCAGCTGAAGTGGTGGATGAGAAAAAATCAAGAGCCTCCTCTGAAGAGGGGCAGAAAGTCCCCATTACTCAGGACTCTACCCACCCAGTAGGAAACCGTGAGATGAGCATGACAACAGCCCAGAGTTTGTCCAAGAAGACTGAGGTAGGCACCCTGCAAAAAGACAAACAGGAGTCTTCCAATGGATCAGATAAGAATGGAACTAAACTCAAAGGAGCATCCAGTACAGAATCTAGGCCTGTTAAGCGAGAGGCTGCCGAAGGAAAAGTCAAGATGGTAGCTGCCAAGAGTAAAGAGGGTCGCAAGATTGCAGGTGATGAAGAGAAGGAGAGTAAATCAAGGAAATGCTCGTCTGGGAAAAACGGGAAGGAGAGCAAAAGGGTTGGGAATGAGCAAGAGAACAAGGAGGAAAAGATTGAGAAAATGGATTCACAAGAAATGAGCAAGGTGGTGGATGAATCTGGAACATTGACCCCCCAGCAAGACCCTGACCCGGTAACTAAGGAAGGAAACGAAGATGAAGAGGTATCATCGGAAATCCAAAAGGAGGGCATACGGCTAAAGATCAAGATTCCTGCACATCGGAGGAAGCTGGCCTATCAGCAGGAGGAGAAGAAGATGGACTCAGACAGCCAGGTCATGGACAGGAGGTGTCTGAGAAGGTCCCCTAGGATATGTCGCCCTACCGCTAAGCTGGCAGAAATTCAAGACATGAAGCAGGAGAAGAAGCAGGCATCTGCATTGGTCCACGAAGAAGAGGATGAAGATGAGGAATCAAAACCTACACAGAAGAAGCAACGGGAGAACTCAAGAAAATGTAACCAGGACAGCCAGACAAAGACAAAACTGGCAAAGGTATTATTTACTGTTTATTATGCTGGGGGGGCAGGTGCTGGCATGGGGGGCAGGATTTCAGGCTCACCCAACAGTTTTGTTACTTCAGGGGAAGCGACGGCACCATGGCGCCAGGCGGTCAAGCACCCGCATTAACTTACGCAGGACGAAGGGATCCAGCGAGGAGGAGGAGGAAGAAGAGAGTGAGGATGATGACAGCGACGAGGACTACACAGTGGAGAAGGGCAAGGTCCGGAGTGCCTCCGACTCAAAATCGGACGAGACCCCCAATGATGACCCATGTAAACACTGTGGCCTGCCGAACCATCCTGAACTGGTGAGTGCCTGTGGGGTATGTGTTCGCGACCCCTGATTGTGCAATACTAAATAGGTGATGTTAACGAGATGGATTGTTAACCAGCTAGTTACGATACTTTCATGTACGGTGTGCCATAGATCTTGCTGTGTGACTCATGCGACAGCGGGTACCACACTGCCTGCCTGCGGCCTCCGCTCATGATCATCCCGAATGGAGAGTGGTTCTGCCCGCCATGCCAGCATGTAAGTATCGCCGCACTCCAGGGTTAAAAAAAAAGGCAGGATTGACGTCCCAGGTTCGTGCTTGTCAGAATATTCTGAGAGTCGTCTGTGTTCCTCGGCCTCCTCCAGAAATTTCTGTGCGAGAAACTGGAGGACCAGCTGCAGAATCTGGACGCGGCCCTGAAGAAGCGTGAACGGGCAGAACGACGGTGAGACGCCACCCCAGGGAAGGCACATGGCTGGACAGTTTTAGCGCACATTTGTCATATATGAGGTCGTGATGTCAGACACTGATAACAGGATGTCGTGGTTGCAAGTTACCTTCCTCTTATCTTACCTGCTGTCTTTGACTTGCCGTGTCGCCAGGCGAGAACGTCTGGTTTATGTGGGGATCAGTGTTGAGAACATCATTCCTCCTCCCGTAAGTACAGCGGACATGGATGTGAACATCCCTCAGGTCAGTTGAAGGTTGACATTCCGCAACTTTGCCAGGTCACTTACGTCAGTCTTTGTCTCTTTAGTCACAGTGTGGCGTCTAACGAGGATCGATTTGTTTTTCACCATTGACCTCTCGCCTTTCCAACAGGAGGCTGAAACAGACAAGAAAAACCAAGAAACGAAAAAAGACGCCAAAAAGAGCAGGAGTATGGGGAGGAGATCTACAAGAACAAAGAAGTGTATTAGCTACAGGTCAGCGGTGGGGCTATGGGGAGGGTGGTGGGTGGTTTGGGCTGTGGGAGTGCGAGGGGGGGCAGCTTCACTTAGGCTATCCCCTGGCTGGTCTGACGGTACCCTGTCTTTGGCTCTAGGTTTGATGAGTTTGATGAAGCTATAGATGAAGCCATCGAGGAGGACGTAATGGAAGCAGAAGGCGGAGGTGAGAATTATGAATTATGCCACTTCGTTTAAAAAGGAGAAGTTCTATAATGATATTTATGACAATAATGGTGCTTCTCTTCTGTGTTAAACACTATGTCACGGAGGCATGTCAGGGTCATACTGCAGGACTGTGGCTCCTCCCACAGGTTCTGGTCGGGGCAAGGACATGGCCAACATCACAGGCCACCAGGGCAGGGACAGCTCTGTCACCCTGCAGGAGGAGGGTAAGGAGAACCGGCGGCCCGTCAGACCAGCCGTGATACAGCGGGGAAGGAAACGGAGGGGTATCAACGACCTGGACAGTGACAGCACAGTGCAGGAGGAGGAGAGTGAGGATGAGTTCTGCCTGAGCAGCAGGTGAGGCAGGCTTCTGTCTGCAGCCCCCCCGGTGGCCCCCGTCTCCCTGCCCTCAGTGCTTTACTTTAATTCAACTCGTCTGTCCATAGGGATGATGTTGTCACCCCCATGGTCACCGTGTCACTTCTCCCTGTCCCTGTCGCAGAGCCAGCTCCAACGAGGATGAGGTGTTGGTGTCGGAGGACGATGGCGAGAGCGACGCGGAGATCCGCTCCAACGAAGACAGCGACTTCGGCAGCGACTACGGCAGCGCCGGACACAGGCCACGGATACGGCCGTCACAGACGAAGAAGAGAGGTGGCAGGAGGTGGGGAAGGAGGCCGCTCCCATGGAAACGGGCAGCGTCCTCCTCCGAGGAGGAGGAAGAGGATACGAATGAGGAAGAGGAGGAGGAAGAGGAGGAGGAAATTTGTAAGATGGCAGGAATTTTGGATATTCATGTACACATTTGTTGTTATCCTAGTATTTACAGACTTATAAAGTGTCTAACATTAATCTACACAGTGAGCGAGGACTCGGCTGACCTGAGTGAAGACACCCTGGACCTGAGGAGACGACGGTCCCGCCGGAGCCACCAGAGGCAGGTCAACTACTGCGAGACATCGGACAGCGAGGGGTCACAGGCCCCCACCAACCGGGACCGGCCCAAAGTCCACCGGCGCCGTCTGTCCAGCTCTGACAGCGAAGGTCTGTTCTCCCGCCCAAGTGGGGGTCAGTCTGGCATCCAGGTGCCTTTGTAGTTTCTGGGGCCTCACTGAAGTCGTTTCAAGGCGCCTCGCACCCCAAGTCTAGTGAATGTCTGTTGGCCCCCAAACCTCAGTGCCCCACGTAAATGTGCCGTCTGCTGCCGTCCCCCCACCCACGGCACATATGCATCTGACACCCCTGTCTCTACATTTCAGGAGACCTCCGCTTCAACAAGCTGTCGGACGACGGCGACAGTGACAGCAGGATGTCAAAGAAGAAGAAGGCGGCGGTGATGAAGGACGATTCCTCTGAGGAAGAATCCAGAAAGCAGCGCAGGCCGAGGACGCTGAAACGACGGAGGGCCTCGGAGGAAGACGAGGAGGATGACTCTGAAGGGTCTGAGGAGGAGGAGCGGCCCGTTCGTAAGAGACTGAACCGCATCGAGACTGATGAGGAGGATGAGGAAGAGGAGAAGATGACTGCCTCTGCGGTGCAAAGTGATGGCACAAAGAGGGCCCCCAGGACAGCCAGTGGGGGTGAGGGGGGGGATAAGAAAGGAAAGTTAGGGGCGGCTCCCACCAATGGACAGGCAGCAGCTCGGCAGGGCGCGAGGACAGGGCCGAAGAATAGCGGGACAGCGGTTTCTAATGGCGCAGGGTCCCAGGAGGAGGAAGAGGATGACCTCCTGGGGGTCACTGACCTTGTGGACTACGTGTGTAACAGCGGACAACTCTAGATGTTCTGCTCATGTTCAGGTTTATTTTTTTTCCCTGCCTTCTACCAGCTGATGAAACCGCCCAACGGCAGCAAGAAGGGATGGCATTAGTAAGGCCTCCAGGTCCCTCCAACTCGCACGCACACACACACACACACGCACACACACACGCACACACACACACACACACACACACACACACACACACACACACACACAGCGGCCTGCCTCAGAGTCCACAGACTCAAAGATCTTCTAAGATCTACAATTCTTCAGAGGAACGTTAGTATTCCTGTCACCCAAGCTGACATTGTGTTTTAGGCTCACGTCTAACTGTATGTGTCTGTTGGTCCTGGTAAGGGGTAGGCGGACTGTAGAATTTATACGTTTTATATAAAAGAGGACCAGTAAAAAACAAAAAAAAAATGTCTGGGATGGTTCTGGGACGTTTAAGGCTGCATTCCATTGCTCCAGAAGAGAGCAGTGCTGGGAGGGTGGTTCCCTTGGCAGACCCCACATGTGTATCATCATTCTGAACAAGGGATGGGACACCTCACAAAGATGGATGGGACACCTCTGGACCCCTCCCTTAACGCAAACACCGAGGCCGTCAACAATAAACGTGTATATATCCCCAGGGCATCGCTTCCCTGCAGAAACGTTTAGAGACAGTTTGACACTTTTTCCTTGGATTTCTGGACGTTAGCAGATGCTCCAGTCCAGGGGTCTCCAGCTCTGGTCCTGGAGAGCTACTCTCCAGTAGGTTTTCTGTCCCACTTGGCTTCTGATGAGCCACACCTGCTCCTGGTATTTACCTGAGAACAGGTGTGGCTCCTCAGAAGCCGGGAAGGATAGAAAACCTACTGGACGGTAGCTCTCCGGGACCGGAGTTGGAGACCCCTGCTCCAGTCGGAGGGGGTCATTTGAGAATTTGCCTTGAATTGGTACCTGAGAAAAGCTGAGTTTGAACTGAGCTGTCCATAGGCAGTGATTGGTGACCATCTCCGGTGTCCTTTGTGTTTCCAATAACATCATGAATATGTCACCCATGCATAAACTAATGTGATTAAAACAAACGTCTAGGTGTGTCTTGACACCAGGCAGGCATATATTTTCATGAATCCTTCCCAGGTGCGGCAGTTCCTCGTTTATTGTCAGCACTTTCATTGCACTAGTGCACATCACAATGAATTGTGTTTCCCAAATGGATCGACAGTTTGATTTTGCGTTTATTCTATTAAGCAGCTTTGGCCCAAACTCTTTAGTGAAAGGACGGTGTACTGCCATCTGTGGAAGGATGAGAAAGAAGCTTTGGGAAGGTGAACCACTCCAGGCGTGATGAGGATCGACTGAAGGTCTGACCTGTTGTCCGTGCTGATCTAGTTACACTTCTTGAAGAAAAAGCAATTTTGGGCATTGTTAGGCCTAAGGGGTAATATGGTCAGTAGAATCAACTTTCTCTTTGAAATAACATTTATTTCTTGAGCTCAACTGAACGATACCTTCTTATTTGTTCTGTGTTCCTGATTTTTCAAATGTGTATTTTAATTGTTCTCTCCTGTTTTATAAACGCTATCACGTCTGATGTGAAATTTGGCATCCTGTTCGGAAAGCGAAAGTTCTGGCTCCACAAAAACACGGAGCTGCCCTGTTGTTAGGTCAGCCAGGATCTGGCTGTGTGAGCAAAGCCGCGCCGGTTCGAGATGAAGGGCGAATGTGCAGGAGAGAGACAGTGATGCGGTTCAGGCAGGCGTCACTTTTCAGCTAAGGACAGGGACCAAAGAGTGTCCACAGGAAGAAGCATGAATGGACGGGTCCAGTTCTGGAAAGTGGCATGCGGACACGACCCAGGACCCTCTGCTTTCAAACTTCAACGTTGTGAATTAATTTCCTAAACCTTTACTATCCCCCCCCGAGTAGCTCTTGCAGTTGCTATGGCAGACATGCTGGTGCAGGGGCCACGTGGAATGTTAATTGAAACCTGGCAGGTGTGCATGGAAGGCCTCTTCCTCTGTCATGTCCTGATGGTGCCAGTAGGTGTCAGCGTTGAGGGAGATGAAGCTCCCCCATACCACCCTCATCCCGATCTGCAGTAGAGTCTGTACGTTAAACAGTGGAAATAAACCTAACATCTATCTACATTGTGTGTATATTTGTAGTTTACGATGTAACATATTTAGATGCTTTTAAATAATCGAAATATATATTAGCAATTCTTTGTGATTGCGGCTGTTAATAAGGTTTTGTAGTTAGCTATGATATTTGCACAATTTTTTTGTAACAAACTACAAAGCGGCATGGTGCACGTACTACAGACAGTACGTACCTCTGCCCGAGTGTTTGCAGGATCGAAGCCCCACAGTCCCAACCCATCCTGCCCTGCAGCCTGTGCTGCACTGTAGGTGGGACCAAAACGACTCGCTTAGCTTGTCGCCGGGGAGGCGGGGGGGCAACACCGAGGCTTGGGAACTCTGCTGTGGCCCATATCATGTTGTACAGTGACAGTAGCTTAGAAACACTGATGTATGGAGGTCCAGCCAATACGCACTCGGGAGAACGGCTTCTGCCGTCAGGTGGATTAACAGAGTCTGACCTGAGCTCCATGTTGGTGTGAGAGCACTGTGCAGCAGTGTCGTTTAGCTCTGCTGGGAGGGAGTGCTGGCTTTCTCCCAGATTGCCCTGTGTCCCCCAGATTAACTAAGAAAACATAGTGCATGAACGAGGTCACACTTATGCAATTTCTGCAGACTTACCTGTGCTACATCCTTCAGTTTCAATTTTCCTATTTTGTACTTAATTTTCCTGAGCAAAGTGAGCTTAAAAAACATACATTGTTTTTGTATAAATCTCGGTGTGTTGGATGCTTTAAGCGAGCAAAGCCCATTTGTTTGTCTGTGTAATGCTGTTACATTAAAGTCAAACTCTGTGACGAACGTGAACTTAGACCACCACTGCTGTCCGTATCCCCGTGCACTTCTACGAGAACAATTTGTTAAACCTGCTGAAATTTCTTTCATATGGACAAAAGACTTGTACATTTTGTCATAATAAAGAAAATTTAAAATATGACCTTCTACAGAATCACGCCGCCTTCCTGTCAAGTTGGGTTTTGTAACTATTTAACTTCAACATACGTGTGCACTGTGAATTTAATACTACTGTAACATTTTGAGCACAGAAAATAACTGTGCAGACTTTGTTAGTGATATACACCGAATCCTAGTTATGCTCACTTTGTGAGATTAAATATGTAGCCAAATCAAAGAGGCAAAGTCGAAGTCTTAAATATGAATTAAAGCCACTTACCCCGCCCCCTTCCCCCTGGCTCTCCGCGCAGCCATTATACCTCCGCGTCGGCAGAGGGCGGTACGATATGTCATTCTCAAGCTTTTAACGAAATGCTTCCAGCTCGTGGCGGTCATCATAACGGTATCCGGTGGAGCTCGCGCCTTACGGGTATTTTAAACTAACGGCAAGCGGAGGCAAGTTTAACCCTGAAAGAGAAAGAGGTGGAGGAATAGTACCGCTGCCGAGCGCACAGCCCTGCTTAAGGGGCGGCCCGACGTTGGGGGAACCGCCTGGTCGGTACGCGGCCACTCGGGTTTGTGAAGCCAAGCAGGTCGCTGTCCCGTCCCGTCCCGTCCTTGTGTTTTCGCGGCTGGGGAGTCGTCTGAGTGCTATGGTGCTGCTGAAAAACGTACCGCCTCCGACGGAGGGTGTCCGGCACCAACAGGCCGAGACGGCGGCTGTGCTGGACGGGAGGGCGCTGGGCTCAGGGACGCTCTACGTCGCCGAGACGTAAGTGACGCGAGAGACCGACCCTGATACTGGAATATGTGTGTTTGTGTATAACATCTATGTGTTATTTATACTGTGTTAGTGATCTGTGCTATTGAATGCAGTTATCCAGCATCTTTTTAAATTGAATGCAGTTATCCAGCATTTTTTTTAAATCGTCGTTTAATTGCCGTAAAGCATTTTATGATGGCGTGGTCGTAAAAATAGACTTGTACTCATTACATTTGGTAATTAAAAGGACACTGACACTGTTATAGCCAGCAACGTCATTTTAACCCGTTTTACGTAGATGTTAACATTAGCAACAAATAAACAACACGGATTTGTAACCTGTATGTTGCTGGTTCAAGTTCCACGTGGGACGTGTAATTTTGAATGTCGAGTACTTATGACTTTCACAGCAAACTTATGATTTCTTCATTCCCCGTTTCATATCTAGCGAAATATCTAGCTAGTTGATGATTTTGTGTTCTTTCATCAAACACACTAACTGTATAACTTTTAAAATGTTCATAATAATCGCTTGTGTGGTTATTGAAGCTGTTTGTTTTTTCTGTAGTCGCTTGTCATGGTTTGACGGATCTGGAATGGGTTTCTGCCTGGAGTACCCGTCAATTAGCCTGCACGCCATTTCCAGAGATCTAAGCGCCTATCCACAGGAGCATTTGTATGTGATGGTCAATGCCAAACTCAGTGGTGAGGCTCCCAGGACACCCTTGTGTCTCCTATCGTTTTATGCATCATGTCGATACCAGTGACTAGACGCGTTTGCTTCAGTGCCTGCAAACTGCACACACTGGATAGAATGGATAGAAGGCTCCAGGCTGGATTTGACTGTCTGTCAATAGGCTGCAGAGTGTAATGTTGTGGTTGTTTTCTAGATGAAGCTGAAATGGAGGCTGAAAAAAAAGATGATGATGATGATGATGATGATGATGAAGATGACAACAGTGAGGATGACTCTGGGCCGATCACAGAAATCCGCTTCGTGCCCACTGACAAGGCTGCATGTGAGTCATGAAAGGAAAAAAATGGCAGTCAAGTTAACACTTCCGTTTCATCTTGAGCATGTTATTCTTGCAAACGTGCCGTGTGACGGTTAATGAGGTGACCCCGTGTGACGGTTAATGAGGTGACCCCGTGTGACGGTTAATGAGGTGACCCCGTGTGACGGTAAATGAGGTGACCCCGTGTGACGGTTAATGAGGTGACCCTCTGTGTGTCCGGCTTCCTGCTCCAGTGGAGCCGATGTTTAACGCCATGTGTGAGTGTCAGGCCTTGCATCCCGACCCTGAGGACGACGACTCCGATGACGACTTCGAGGGGGAGGAGTATGACGTGGAGGAGGCTGGTAAGCTTCTGCCCCTTCCCCCACCCCCACCCCATGGAAGTAGACTGTTCCTTTGCTCTGTATATTTTGGCCTTGTGTTCTGCTGAGCTGTGGTCTCTGGAGTTTCGCTGTTCCTCTCCGCTCACCTGCCCACCACTCTTGCAGAGCAAGGCCATGGAGATGTGCCAACCTTCTACACCTACGAGGAGGGCCTTTCCCAGCTGACTGCCGAGGGCCGAGCCACGCTGGACCGGCTGGAGGGCATGCTGTCCGCGTCGGCCACACAGCAGTACCACATGGCAGGCGTGCGGACCGACAACACCGCAGCGGATTTCGACGGTACATCTCTGAACTGACCTTGCTGTTTTTCTTTCCCCTTGTATTGCATTCTCATGTACCATATGCTTGTAGGTTATGTGCATGCAGATGTCTCTCTTTAAACCTCTACTCAGAGGGTGTTATTTGTTTAGACCACAAGGGGGCGTAGGCTTGCTTTGCCGTGTGAATGCTTGGTGATGGTCAGGTGAATATGTTGAGCTAGAGAGCACAGACCTGAGAGTGGTTGCTGTCTTCTGCTCACCCTAGAAGGAATGGAAGTGGATCCAGGTTCGACTGTTGCTGGACAGTTTGAGGATGCAGACGTGGATCACTGGTATGACCTTTAGGTTTTATAACTTTGAAATAGGGATCCATTGATGAGCAATGTTTTTATATATATATATATATATATATTTTTGCAGGATGGGGGGGTTGAGAAACACATTGATTTACAAAGTTACACTCTGACACATTTAGCAGAGGCACCAATGGGTCTGTTGATCTGCAGATGCTTTGCTGATCGGCTGCCTCTCTCATCCGCCTGAGCTGAGAAACCTAAACCTCAAGGCTGCTGTAGCACCTTCCGCTTGCCAGTTGGCTGAATGAATCCTTTCCCTTCTTGCAGATGGAGCCGACCCATTTGTGCCAACAGAAGCACTTGGACAGCTGAATAAAAATGGGGGCCTGGGGGGGTCTCAGTGATGACCTGATTTTTTTTTCTTTCCTACTGCCAGCTGTGAATTGTATGTGGTTAATTAGAGAGATGGCAAAATACATTGTTCTTCATTAGGAAGCTCTTACCTTGGTGTTGCTCTTTTTTACTGTAACTGAAGACTGACCTGATCGGTGTGTTTGTGACAGATGGCTCAATAAACATAGTTTTTCTATGATCCATTTGACTGCTGCCTGTATCTCAGAAGATGCCCAGCTCAGGTGTACCAGCAGAGTAGCCACCCGTGTAAATAAATACTATGTTAAGTCACTTTGGATGAGTGTCTCCGCTACAGCCAGGGCAGCGGCATGATGTCGCCTGATGGGCTGAGCGGTTCTTAGCTTACTGATGAGCCCAGTCTTGGCTGCCATTCGCTGGGCTTCCCCAGGCCTGCACCTAATTTTATTCTCCCGGCTTCTGCCCAGTCAGGATCCAATTTGGATCCCTGTTTTGGCACTGGTGTGCATTGTTCAGTGATTTGCAGAGCCAGTGTGATCGCAGCATTACCATGGTGGAGTGTCATGGTCCTACCAGACTTGAAAGAGCAGAAATTGTGAATTTGATATGGTATGTTCTCTGTGCTCTGATTCTCTTTCCTGGATAATCACTACTCCACTGAAGGCACCATCCTGGGTACCCACAACATGTGATGTGATGTGTGCAGAGTAACCTCTGGGCCTGGTGATGTGATGTGTGCAGAGTAACCTCTGGGCCTGGTGATGTGATGTGTGCAGAGTAACCTCTGGGTACAGATCTTGAACCTGCAGCACGAAGTTGAATGATTCATAAATCACTGAGGAGATGCATATTCACTAAACCATAAAACTGAATAATACCATTTAATTTGGGAGTTGGCCAACCCACACTGCAGTGCCTGTGTGGATCGTAAAACACAGCCTTTCCATCTGCGGTCTGGACGGCTGTATCCCAGGACCTTTGAAAGAACCTTTTTTGAGTATGTGTGAGTTCAGTCCGATTCGGTTCCCCTCACTTGATGCTTGATGCTGGGTTCCCAGTGCCTGAGGTTTAGCTGTTGCTAGATTGCTTTACTGAGCAGGATTTAAAAAAAAAAAAAAAGCTGAATTACTGTTTTTCTGCTGGATGTACTTTGGCCTGAGCAGTGACACAGTGAATGGGGAGGGTGATTGAGGGAGCAGAAAGGTGACATTTGCAGAGTTCTGTCATTTTTTTTAAACCATTTTTAACTTGTGCAGTTCTGTTGGTCTTCAGCTGTTTTCATCTGCCGTGGAGCGTGTCGTGTTTTTCCCTCCCACCTCCACTGTATATTTATCACTGGTCAGGAACACGGTGTCCTGCTTTTCCACATCCGGGAATTTCACCATAAATTCAAGCATGTCTGCTGCTTTGGACACCAGTACACCCAGAAAGCTTAATTAGCATTCCTACATAATCACAGAAGTGTTGGGTGTGTGTGTTTAGATTTCTGCATAAACACAGTAACTTATTATACGGCTTTTACTTTGCTGAGCTGCTTGGACTTGGCACAGTACAACACTGCACTGTTTATCACCTCCCTTTGGGTCAGTATTTACCAGGATGTACGCAGATTATCCCCAAATAACCCCCTGGTCAGGCCCAGTCTGTCATTCACAGATTAGTGTTTAATGTCAGGAATGGTGGTCAGCTTTGGAATGTTACTCTGTACACGTTACAGACAACACAAGTGATTCATACAAATCGCTGCTAGACTGACATGATTCATTCCAGCCTGACTTCTTTTTAAAGTACTGTGCAAATTTATGCAAACTCAGCATTGCGCTAAACAAGCATCAATTAAGAAATTCTGATTTAAAACACTTTTGGACAATACAATTAAACCCCTTTCCAGCGTTATCTGCTAGATCTGAGGTACTTTCCACACACATTATTCTATCATTGTTCCCATATACAGTTCTCACCCTTGTTTTTGTGCTCAGTCTAATTTCAAGTTAAGTATTCCTAAAAAGGACATTCGTGCTGTGCTTAAAGAAGGGAAACTACGATGGCTCGCCATCACAGTCAGTAATTATGCTCATGTGCGTCTCCGTTTCCTGCATGGCTAGAACCTTGTGATGTGTATCGGTCATTTTACCTGAGCCGGAGAATACACAAGAATAGTAGATCTGGCACGTAGACTGTGTAACAGTGCAGATATATTGGCGATGTATGGTATAGGTGTACGTCTGTGCAACTCTGATGATTTCATTAAACCCACAATGCAGGAGTTACTCCTGCAGCTAGAGCCTCTGTCCACGCTGTGGTGAAAGTGTAACTGCCCCAGAGTCTTCGACTATTGCTAGAATTACTGGCTGATTCCCGACTCTCCGAGCACGTTCACTGTAACTTTTTAGTCGCAGCCAGAGGAAACTCCATGTCCTTCTGGAACGTTCTTCCAGACAAGAGCGGAATGACCTTGTCGGAGAGCAGAACGGAGAAGGTCATACCTGGGGGGGGTGAAGACACAGAGGTGTGAAATCTTCTCCTGGTCAGAAAATGAACACACCACCAGATGCTTCGTTTGGGTTTGCAGCCTCCTGGGAAGCTGGCTGATCTATACCCAAACCTTATACTCTAAACCTATAACCAAACCCTTAGGACAGTTGTTGACAGAATTTACTTATTAGCTTTCCAATGAGCAGCCCAGCAAAAACACAGTCTTACCCAAAATTGGTCCCAGCCAGTAGACAATGGAATATTCCATGAAGGTGTGTCCTTCGCAAGCGAACTGCGTGGAGAAAGCTAGTGCTGGGTTGAACACAGCACCAGTGAAGCGACCACCTGCACAAGTCCGAACACAGGGAGAGTCACAGAGAGCCTCAGCCCCAGTCAAACAACAAAATATGACATTCAGGCCTCAAGAACTAAGATAGTAACTCGAACTTAGCTGGGTCATCATCTACTCTGAAAATAGCTTTAAGTAACCACTCATATTTCCTCTAAACCAGATTATAGAACCAGGTTTAGTCCAAAAAAGTTAAATTATACCAACAATAACCATGAAAATAAATGGACTATATGCTATATGCAACATGAAATAACGTTTCTCTGTCATTTCAGCTGGTTTCCCACATATCTGAGGACTGCGCTTGAATATACGGCAAACAAACATGAGCGACACTATTTCACCTCTCACTTTCACAGCCACTAAGAGATCCTTTCCGTAATTAAATGCAACATCTACGGGGTATAAACAGATGTGGTGAATTGTGTTTTGTGACCTACATTAAAACTAGCGTTACAGTCACAGCACAACTAAGTTAAACCAATATCATGTTCATTAACGGGTATATTAACCGGTATATACCAACCTGCATAGACGAGCGTTGTGATGACCGCAGCTACTATATGGACCCTGTACTTCACATCGGTCTCCTTGAAGCACGTGAGAGCGCTCTGCACGGCGAAAGCGCAGCCCAGCTCCACGGCCGCGGCGGTGGGCAACGTGCCGTCAATCGGACTCTGGCACTGAAATCGTAGCGACCTGTGCCGGGCGTGCAGGTCGTACAGACCCAGAGCCCATAGATAGGGCGCCGCTGAACGTGCCACCGCAGCCGCCAGGAACTGGCAGGCGATCCGCCGCAGGGCGCCGCTGCCGCTCAGGCTGCGCCGGTAGACACTCTCAAGTGCGCCGGAGGGGTTGCATATCGCCCCGCTGAAAGTCAGTGCGTGGACCACCGAGATGAGGTAGGTGAGAGTAAGCATGATCCGCGGCTCGGTCCGGCCCAGCTCGCCGAGGAGCTTCAGTTCCTGTGTGCAGGCGCAGAGCTGAAACGTGGAGATGACCTCCACGGCATAGGCGGCACGGTGCGCCAGCAGCTTGGCGGCCGCCCTGCGGCTCGCTTCGCTGAGCAGCACCACGGCAGTCAGCAGCGCCAGGGACGCGCACAGATCAGCCATGCCGGTGCGCTGCGCTTCTCCAGTCCGCGTCGGAGTTCGCACTTCTGCAGTATATCCCCTTCCCGCATCGCGGAAGTACTGCTCCTGTGGCCAGGAGAGGGCGCAGTTCAGGCGGTGAGAGGTTTGCGGGGCTTCCGATGTACCACGATTTATTGCCCCAATCAGAAATACCAAGCAAACTAATAAAATGAACTAAATAATAGCCTGAAAAAATATAAATACTAAAATAGACAATAAAATGAAAATTCAGCTTTTTTCATAACGAGTGCGATGAGTTTTTTACTACATGACGTGATGAATATAGTCAGTAATTAAGATATTCAATTTCGAACTGGAGGCTCTCAATGTAGGCGGAGCTTATCCCTCACCTGGGGGAATTTGGATAAATATCAGGGGAAAAAATACTTCCGGTCAAAACTACAACATTGTTATGTTCCTAAATGTAGTCGTACTATTAAGCAACATTAAGCTGTGATGGAATGTCATCCCAACCAGGGCCCTTGTATGCTGTCCTTCCTGGCAACGGTTCTCGGATAACCTAACCACCACCCCCCCCTGAGTGACAGGGGCCCTAAAAAATTAGCAAAATAACTGGATTGGTTTGGACTGGGGGGCCTAATATGATATGCTTTCATGGGGCCCAAAATCTCTAGCAACGCCCCTACTCATGAGCAGGGGTGGCCAATCTTATCCGCAAAGGGCTGGTGTTCTGACAAAATATCCTACCTATCGAGACATACTGTCGAGCCTTTCTGCGCATGTGCAGTTCCACCGTCTTTGGATTAGTGTTATGTTTTAGGGGTTAGGGTTAGTGTTAAGGGATTAGGGTTAGGGTTAAGGTAAGGTTTTAAGGGTTTTTGGGGGGTTAGGTTTAGGGTTAGGGTTAGGGCTATCGATTAGCACTACGGTAGGATGTTTTGATAGAACACCGGTGTGTATGCAGGTTTTTGGGATAACCTGTAGGTCAGCTGTTCAAACCCAGATGTGAGGACTCTTCAGCCAATCAGTCCTCTAATTAGTAATCTAATTAGGGCGTTGCAGCGAAAACCCGCATACACACCGACCCGGCACATGACAAACTATCTGAGACCACCAGCGAAGGGTGCTGAACTTTAACAACCATAACAACAACACTAATAATAATAATAATAATAATAATAATAGCAATAACAATAATATACTAACAACAATATTTTTTGTTGTTGCTAATGATATATTATTTTTGTTGTTGTTGTTATAGCTCAATCAATTATTTTAATTTCAGTATACATTTCCTTGTCAAATATGCCAGCACACAAATGTAGGCTATTGTTTTATGTACCATTTTGTAGCATAAGTATAAGCAGATATGACTTGCATTTCTTTGTGAAATGTGTGATTGATAACATCCCATTAACTAATCTCCGTTCACATTACGTCACGTTACCTATATGAAAAATCCACGAAAATGACGTAGTGCAGGAGCGTCACCCCCGGTTGGCACCCAGAAGCTCCATCCATTTACGCACCGGGGATCCGCCTTCTCTGGCAAAGACGGACCGGCAACAAGATCAATTGCTGGAAGGTGGGATCTGAGACTGACCAGTTGCATACTGGTGCATTGCGTGGTGGGCGGGCGTTGCTATGTAGCAGGTTCGGATGTGCCTGACAATAGCTGGAGACTGGCAAGTTTGTGGGGGGGAAGAAAGGGGACTGTCGGCCGAGCGAATCAGACGCGTGTGCATGAGTGCCGGACTGGGTAATCGCACCGGGAATTCCCTACAGCAGTACCGGGAAGGAATCGGCGAGCGTCTGCAGGTCAGATTTCCCATATTTTCCATTTTCACCCTCCTTCAGTTTTTATGTACCGATCAAGCTCGGTGCGGTCTGCCTAGTCTCGCCTTAGTGTGAGACTTACAGAAGCCGCATGAGAAAAGGGGAGGGAGGGGGGGACCAATTCTTAGCGAACATTAAACAGTGGTGGGAAAATGCAGGCGGTTAATTCATTTCACGGTGCTGCCGATCGCGATTTCAAGTTTGTTTTTAGGGCGATGCCCCCTCACACTTCATGCGCATTTTCACGCCTTGCGTCTTCTCGCCAACTCTTGCTGGTGTACAGTATGCAGTGACAGTATCTTGTTAGTCGCTTGAAATTACATTTTCCCCTCTGGTTGGTTGCCATTGGTAGTCGGTTCACATTTAGTCAGTATATAAATATAAATAAAGCTTGCTTGTGTTTAGATCATGGCTGTTCCTCTCACTGTACTAGTGACCAGTTCAGACAACTATATAGGTATATCTGTTAACTACAGGAGCCTTAACTGTATAACATAAGGCTTACCATGTGAAACAGTGTGAGATATGGTCTGTGTATGTAGGTGGATTTCAGTTTGGCCAGATTGATGTGTTGCGTCTGCCAGACCCGAAATCCTGCTGAATTGTGCAGCCTCTTTTTTCCATGATGCTCATTTTTATACCTCTGATCCGGTAAAATATACATTAGTGGTTTGCATGCTGTACTCGGTAGTGTTGGGGCACTTTTGCAGCGTTTCAAAGTGCGCTGCAAATTCAGATGTACACTGTGCAGTTCTTCTGGGCTGAAGGTCCGGAGTTGATTTCGATAATCTCTCTTTGTTATTATAGTTTAGTACTAAACTAGTACTATGGTCTGGTCTGGGCCAGTCACCCCCAGTCACCCCCCCCCCCCTTTACAATGTAGGCGCACAGAAGACGCGTGTTTTTTACTACATATTTTTGCACAGTCAGGTCAAGTATTTGTTATGGTTATAAACTGTATTTTGAAATATGAATTTCAGTTGACCGCAGATACAAATGAAAGCTTGTTCCACGAAAGCGGACGTCATTAAAGCAATATCAGTGTCAAAATGTTTTTTTTTTTCGTTTGTTTTGTTTCTTTTTGAGTGCACGTTTTGATCGTAAACGTTAAATTAAAAAGACCACACTATCCTCGGATATATGACTGGATCAACAGCGGTGAGATGAGCACCAGCCGTAACGCACGTAAACTTAGCAAATGGGGTATAAAACTAGGGGAGGGGCATTTTCAGGAGGGGTATTTGCAGGGAGGGTACAGGGTATGTGGGTCACCTGACGCGCCTCTTCATCCACCATGCCGGAGCTCATGGTTCATTAGAGAGGTTTGCACTTTGGACTTATTAAACTGCATCCACTGGATTTGGTCCAGGTGCATGACAGCAGCTTTTTCTCCACGGAAGGTGAGTTATTGGGGACAGTAATGTCCGAACATTACACACCTGTACCTCCTATGAGGAAACGCATGGCACCGGTTTTGCGCCGTCTCTTAACGGTTTACCGCTGAGGAAACGTGATCATCAGCCGCTTAAATCCTTTGTGAGGCAAAATCCTGAAACGCTGACGCCCCCGTGCTCGATAAATTTTCACTCTGTTGTTGTAGATGTTCTTCTTTTTAATTACCGGGTTTTCCAAATGGACCGAGGCAGTCATCACTTTGAGACAATGAGTCAGAATGACGTGATTTGTGTCAGTTCTGTGTGTGTGTGTGTGTGTGTGTGTGACTGCAAGCACCACCGATCAACTGCAAGTCCTCAGTAAGTAATGTGACTGGTCAGGGTGGGGGGCAAACAGCGATCAGCAGGCCAGGGGCATGGAAGTAACCGACCATGTGTAACTCAGTGGTCTCACTCCCTGGTCGGCCATGTGGTCACTGCGACCCCCCCCCCAAAACCCCAAGGTGCGTACAGTTGGGGAGGGGGGAGAGTAAAGGGCTGGGTTCATGCATGAGTCTGACTTCTAACATGTTTGGAAGACGGGAAACTTCCACACCCACTGAGACTTCAGCGAATGAGTTCGCCTTCATATTAAAATCTTCGAGGTCATGATTCTGTTCTGTTCGGCTGGGGGTCAGCGAAGCCATTAACTCAGTTCCAGTCGAAGTCCATGTGGCTCGTAGGCAAGCTTCACCACCGGCGCCCCTCCAGAAGATGCCGCCCTAGGCGTCTGCCTATATCGCCTAACGGGGTAGTTGGCACTGTCTCAGCTACACAAACGGTCATGCCCAGGCCAGTGGGGTTATTGTGTGTCCTGGGAGGTATTTCAGCAAGACCATCCACACAACAGGTCTGGATCTCATGTCCATCTGAGTGTCCAAATACGTGAAAATGCCTAGCTTGGGGTCTTGCCACGTAGGCATGAACGTGGATTGTAACCTGTCATTGATACTCTTGCGTTTTATTTATGCTAAATGACTAAATAACCCCCCCCTCGCCCCCCATGGGATTGTATCCTCTTCTCTGCTTATATATATCAAAGGCCCCCCCCCCCCCCCCCCCCCCCCCCCCCCCCCCCCCCCCCCCCCCCCCCGGTTGTGTGTCCCGCGTCGCTTGTAATGTAGCTGAAGTCACTGTTCTGTCATTGTTTGTAATGTTATCATCTATAAATACCCCCTGTGGGGCATTACACTGGTAATGTTGACACGTCCACCCTCCTTCAGAGGAGTCCGGCTGCCAAAAATCACTTCTGCACTTCCTCTTCCTCCTTTATTCCTCCCTCATCCCACTTTATGGGTCATTTTAAGGTGGCCTGATGGAATCATGGCAAGGGATTTCGTCTACTCTTGTTATCGGTGCGTCTCAGGTCTGAACTACCTTAACTTTCAGTCTGCACCAAAGGAGCACTTAAATGCCCCTGAACACGCAGGATGTGTCAGTCATCCCTGGAGCATAGACTAAACACCCCCCCTGGGTGGATTAAATTGCCTATAGGAGGTTTTGGACACAGAATTAACCAGAAGGTTGCTGGTATGACACTCCGGATTAGCCAGCTGTTCTGGCTTCCAGTTAATTAATTTGGAGTTTCACAGAATTAATTGTTCTGTGTTTTAAGGGTGTGAATGCGGTAAGCTGAGTGTTCGTGTCCATCGTCAAGCAGTCTAAATGCTGATTAACTAGGTGGCACTCTCGTGCAGGAATGCCTTCCCAGCACAGCGACAGGCCTCCTCGTTGGAGGCCTCCACTGAGATTTGGGCTTGCTTACTCTGTCCCCTTCACCCAGGAGAATAATGTTGCCAAGTTAGCCGTGCCAAGTTAGTTTCCCCTCTGAAAGGTGGTACTTCCCATTGAAATGCTGGGGAGCACCCCTCCCCCCACCCCCACCCCTGACTCAGCCTAGGTTACCCTGGTTACCGGAGACGGTAGTTACGTTGATTGGTAAATGGAGATGTTAGCCTGGAGATGAACGATGACTCGAGGACAGTAATCTTACTCAGGAGTGCAAAGATCACTGCACCATCTTCTGTAACCAGACACGTGAGGTAGGATCTATGTCCTGTGATTGGAGGCAGTACTGATAGGGAATGGCTCAGTGCCCCAGTCCGAAGAACAGGGAACAGGCGGACAGGGAGCAGAGTGCTGAGATCGAGACAGGAGAGGCGGATGATTCCCTGACCCCAAGGCCCTGAAGTCGTCCCCTTCCTGCCCTATGATGTCACCTCGCCTGCTCACATCCTAGTCTGACCCTGTGGTGTAGCACTCTTGCAGAAGAGTGTTTTCACCAACAGCCTAATGTAGATCACATTTGTGTTTTATTGTAACTTCTCCCCGCTGAGTAATTCAAGTTCTTCTACACCTCCTGCCTCACCCTCCCCCCCGCTCCCGCCCGCTCCCCCCCGCTCCCGCTGGCCCAGTGAGAATCCTGGCTCATCACGGTCGGCGTGACCTGGAGTGACCCCTTGCGATGTCACAGCCGCTGAGCCGCTGTTTGGATCAGGGCCTTATTAATGCTAAGCTGGGCTAACACTGTCAGAACGCTGGCGGGGGTCCCTTTCACTCCCCGTGACAAATGCCTCCCTTGGTCCGCATCTCTGAAGCGGCCTCTGAATGGATTGGGGAGGTTCTGTGTTTTTTTTGTTTTTTTTTTTACATGGGAAGAGATGTTGTGCCTGGAGGCCAGTGTAACTTCTGAAGGTCATATTAATCAAAATGTGACTGATGTGCGTCCCCCCCCCAGCTGATTTAAATAGTTCTGCTGGCTGCTCTTTTGCCCCCCCCCCCCATCATTAGGGGTGTTTCCGTAGAAAGGCCAGCCCTACAGACAGACCGCCGCTCCTTTGCCACCTGGAGCGCCCCGCTGCATTGTGGGATACATGTTTACCCATGAATACAGCTGGTTAAAAGGTCTTTTTCTTCTCTCGACAAGTTTAATTGAGGACTTCCTCATGCGATTCTATTGTTTTCTAGTCTCTGTGAGACATACAACTGCTGATAAACCATGTATAATTAAAGTAAAACACAGAGGAACCTATTTCCTGATGTGATCCATGGTGGGGGGGGGTGGCAGGGGCATTGGGCATTTCACAAGGTAAAAAAGGGCACTTTGTCAAGTCAGTGTCTGCCTGGTACTACAAACTTCACTTCTTTGCCTCCTCTCTCTCCCCCTTTCATCCTCGTAAGGGAGACGCTTGTGCCCCCCCCGCCCCCCCCACCTGACAGCAAGCTGCTGACGGAAGGAGATCAGCTTTGTGTAATATTCCATGAATAATGGAGCACTCTATTTCAGCACAGACACTGCATTGTGCGCCCCTCCCTCTGAGTGTGTGTGTGTGTGTGTGTGTGTGTGTGTGTCGCACAGGCCAGATCGTGCATCCCTGATAGATGTTGGGGTTCCGTGGGGGAGTGTCTCTTGGAGGCAGATTAAGGCTGGACGGCTGTCTGGCACCGTGGGGGGATCCCAGTCCCACCATTCAGAGTCCAACAATGACAGACGGATGAAAGGAAATGGGGAGGAGTGCCTCAAAGTTTAGTCGGTGTGTGTAGGTTAAC